ACACAGCAGCTCCCATGGCTCACACTGCAATAATGCAGTTTCTTAAATATGGGAATTCTCAGGAAAAAAATACCATGCGGAGAGATACTGGAGTTTGTTACAAAGCTTACAGTTTCTTTTATCTCATTAGGATTTATTTTCTTGTGCTTCCTTTCTGAAGCTAGGTGTTGGGACTACTTGGTGAAGTTCCCTTTAAAATGAACTTTAAAATGAACTGCCCAAGCACCTTTCCCAGTGGAAAGGAACTGCTGCTTTTGAAGTCTGCAGAGGGGCTTTCAGAAGCTTTAGGCTTGTATCTAGCTTCCTTTGTTCCATGGAGTCTGTTTACTTGACTGTAAATAAAGTGCCATTTACAGACAGAAGTTAGGAAGTGGATTTTTACTTGCCCGACCAATCTCTCGTCATGATTATTAGGTCACAAAATAGAAGTCTGTCACCAAAAGCTATTAAAATCCAGATAGTGAATTAGTTTTCTTTATTTCAAGATTCTTAAATTATCAAAGTTCATTGCCTGAAGGCAGCCACAGATGCTGAATCGTTCCAGCCTGGAATATACAGTACTTTGAACCTAGATATTTCAATGATTGGTACCCTTTTAATGCATAAGAGACCCTCTTATTTTGCACAGGCTTAAAATAGGTCTAAAGGAAACTTATAATTTTCTCTTTTTTTGGCTGCAAATACTTGAGTTTCTTTTTATGGATACTATATTAAGATAGATGTACAAAATGTATAAAAGATGTCCTTATAGTGTAAGCACTATATGAGATGGAGGAAAATGGCAGGAAAAATGCCTACTATATTATTGCCAGTGTATACTTGCTAGGCCCAAGCCGACTAAGATTTATGTGGAGTAGATCTAAAAAATCTGCTGACGATTGTAAAAATGTGGAATTTAAAATGTGACTGAAATATGCTGAAACTAGGTTCTTTTGATAATGGTTGTGCTGAGTCAGATTGTGTTTTTCAGCACTTCTACTTTGATTTTTGCAAAGCAGTTGTGGATGAGAGGCAAAGCTGACCTGTAAGAACACTGTAGACAACAGTGTGTCTTCAGAGCCTGGATTTTATGATTGCTTTTTTTGTTCTTCTCTTTTCACTGTCGTTGACTGGCTGCCTGTCCAGAAAATGAACATGATAGAGGCAGATTTGAAGAGACCTGAAGAGAGGCAGACACCTTTCCATTATTCCAGCTGTACATTTTTGCCCTCAAAGAGCAGAGCTCCGATGCTGCACTTGTGCAAATGATTAAAAAGAATAAAATAAAACAAAAAGCCCCAGTGGTAAATGGGAAGGATGGGCAAAATGGTTCATGTGTCATGCCATGGGAAGAGAACAAGGACATTGCTTCTGTAAGCTGTGGTGAAGTCCAGGAGAGCTACAAGGAGCTGAAGCTTCCCAGTGCAGGGGCAGGTGTCCTTGCTCCTTGGAATAATGCCCCATCTTGGAGAAAATTGTACCACAGAGAGTGGCCCTGGGAGATTCAGGGAGAGATGTTACACACTACTGGGAGGTCAAGGGAGGAGATGAGCAGGCAGCAGATAACCTCAACGCATTTTGCTGACCCCATCTGATTTGTTACAGCACCCTAGGGGCATTTGAACCGTGGAGAACTTTCCTTCAGGCTGTTGGCTGTCATACCTGCTCCCTGTACTTTCACCCGGTTCTGGAAGAAATTTTTGCTCTGTCTGTAGCATTTAAAAAAACTCTCACCTTGGACACAAATTATTAACATCTTCCATGTTTTTGCACAAAAGTTGTCCAGTGCACTCAGCAATGTTACCATTTGGCTTATAGTGTGATTTGCTATTAAGTGTGTAACAGTCCAGAGAATAGAGAGTTTTTCTCTAAATGTCACTGGAATTTGGGTCAGACTGGAACTGTTCTTTATTTTAGATAGCTTCCATCTCTTAAGTTCGAAAGCCAGGGTTTATTTTCATGTGCAGCATATAATGTGGAGGGTTTTTCTTCAGCAGGTACATGCAGGATGGTGCTGTGGTATAGTGTCCTTTGGCCTCTTGAGAATGAGAAACTGCTAAATTATGCTTGATTTCTGACTGAGGATAATACAATTTAACAACAGACACAAAAAACTCCCTCAGGATATGACATGAAAAAAATGTTTTTATAAAATACAAGTATATTAGATCACAAAGGAATTACTGGCAATTGTCGATTACTATCTCAATACACCATTTCCTTGTCCTCAAAACCCAGACATAAACTGTGATTATATGAGGTTGTGTTTAGTGTCAAAAGACTTGCAAAACACAGGGTAATGAGTCTGTACACATTCTCTTCTCCAGTCTTAAATAGCGTGACTCAAGAAATGTATTTATCTCTAGGATGTTTCTCTAGGAACTATACTGCTAGCCGTGGGTGCCTTCTTGCTTTCCAGAGGCTGACTGTAGATGTGGTTGTTTGAGATAACCAATATATTATTTCCTGTTTGAATTTGTGGTAAAAAAGTAGTAACTCTCTTAGAGTTGTATTTAGTCTTCTGCTAGTGATATTCCTGTTTTGAATTCCGTGGGCAAGGGTACAAAATACATTGACACTTTTTACAGGTCATGAACTTTGCCTGCAAACCTGTGGTTGTGATTTTAATATTTTTACTATGACTTTATTGTCATCATTACTGTTACAATTCAGCTACTGTGATGGGCTTTTCATGCTGATATAAACCATGTTAACCTCTCTTCCAAAGCTGCTCCTGGGACCTTGGAGAAAGTGATACCAACAGTAAGCTCTCTGCCCATCAAAACTTGAGAAATGGTTACAATTTGAGATTATATTTTTAAGGTGCCATCTCTCCTTAAAATATCCTTGTTGTAAGGGATTCTTTAAAAGGCTGCTTCTTTACTACACAACGATTCACACTAAATAATTGTGGTGAGGCATATTTGTGTGTAAAGTAGATAAAGCTCTTTCTGTCTGGGCACACAGGAAGGGAGGGGAAACATGAGGGACGTTGTTTAACCCATGAGCAGCTCTGTGAACCTGCCTCATCTGGAAACCTCAGGGAGTAGTGCAACCACAAGTCATGACTTCTTCCATCATTGCTATTTTTGGAGGCTTTTCAGGAGCTCTGAGGTGTTCCTCAGCTGGGCTGTAGCTTGTTCCTGGAATCCCACTGTTGTCTCAGTCCTTCCACCTCCACAATGGGGAAGGAGCTGCCTACTCACAGCAGAGCCCCTCAGGGGAGTCTGGCCTTTTTCCTGCAGCCTTCCCAGTAGATATTCTCCTAGGTATCAACCTCCAGTTCTTGATCAGAAAAAAATCAGGCCCTTCATGGATGAGGAGTGGACCCCCATGTCCTACAAAATCAATTCTGTGCCCAGTCCACATAGCTGGTTCCTTCCAAAATGGCATGGAATGGCACACCATTATTCTCAGGCATATAAGTGCCCAAGGAAAAGCAATTAAAAACAAAACCACAGCTAAATAGAATTGCAATGTTAAATGTCACGATTTATTAATGCTGTTCACCTTGCATGTTTGTAGTTTGAAGTTTTCCTGTTTGGACAACTGTTCAGACTGTTTGGACTGAAAACAAAGGCTTCTGGCATGATAATGAAATTACTCAAAAATTTAGGTTTTCTGATGCAGCAGATAATCTCATTTTTATTCCAGTGCCACAAACTCAAATATAAACAGCATTAGCAGGTACAATCAGGGCATTTTGTTTAAGCATGAAAAGTTGAGGTGAATGGAGCTGCATCCAGCTGGTGGATAGTCACAATCAGTGTTCTAATGCTCAGTTTTTCTTTGATATCTCCATTGCCTGGATGAGGGGATCGATCTAATGCAGATCCTCTGCAGAGGATCTGGACAGGCTGCATCGATGGGCTGAGGCCAGTGGGGTGAGGTTCAACAAGGCCCAGTGCTGGGTCCTGCCCTTGGGTCACAACAGCCCCAGGCAGTGCCACAGGCTGGGACAGAGAGGCTGGAAAGGACCTGGGGGTGCTGCTGACAGCAGCTGAACATGAGCCAGGCTGTGCCCAGGTGGCCAAGAAGGCCAATGGCATCCTGGCCTGGATCAGCCATGGTGTGGCCAGCAGGGCCAGGGCAGGGATTGTCCCCTGTACTGGGCACTGCTGAGGCCACAGCTCCAGTGCTGTATCCAGTGCTGGGCCCTCAGTGCAAGAAAGACACTGAAGAGCTGGAGAGAGTGCAGAGAAGGGCAGTGGAGCTGGGGCAGGGTCTGGAGCACAAGTGCTGTGAGGAGCAGCTGAGGGAGCTGGGGGTGTTTGTCCTGGAGAAAAGGAGGCTCAGGGGTGACCTTGTCACTCTCTGAAAGGAGGCTGTGGCCAGGTGGGGGTCAGTGTCTTTTCCCAGGTAACAACCAATAGCACAAGCAGAAATGAGCTCAGGTTGCAACAGGGAAGGTTTAAACTGAACATTAGGAACAACTTCTTCCTGGAAAAGGTTGCCAAGTATTGAAGCACTCTTCCCAGGGAAGTGTGGAATCATCATCCCTGAAAGTTTTCAAAGGATGTGTAGTTGTAGCACTTGGGGACATGGTTTATTGGTGGATTTGGCAGTGGTTGAGCACAGTTCTTTCAACCTAAAAGATTCTGTGATTCTAGTGCACCTCAGCAGGCTCTTGATGTGTTTGCTGTACCATAAGCTTAACTTATGCCTGAAGGTAAAGAGGATAACAGACCTCTGAATCATACATTTTGCCTCTATTCAGCTAAAACATTCCCATTAGTAGTGCTGCAACTTTTGTTAAGGCAAACAGTGAATGAGTCACTGATCTGTGCCCACAGTAATACAACACACATAAAGAGTGCCAGAGAGGCATTTCGCATGGCCAGGGTACTGTGGCGAAATCACTGTTTTTTCAAGCATGTGTCAAAGGCTGTATTTATTTTCTTCTGTTGGGGGAGCTGTCGCAGATGAAGAGCCTTTTTCACTGGGATCAAAATTCTTCTTTAATTGCTTTAATTCTGCTTTAATTACAATTGCTGTTGTAATCATAATCTTTCTGTTAACAGGCATTCTTCATAACTGCTGTGAAGCCTACAATGTTGGGCTCCTGGAAGCAAAAATATTTTCTGGTCCACGAAGAGAGCAGTTTGGATATTCAGTTCAACAGTTTATAAATGAACAAGGCAAATGGTAAGTAGTTTGAATGGGTTGGTTTATTTCCAGCTAAAGGTTAAGTAAAAAATGTTGCAACCCTTATTATTTCTTCTATAATTCCACACCTCACTTAAAGGGATTCTGGTTAATTTTTTTTATATTAGAGCTATCTTTTTGCAAATAAATGCTTAATGTCATTAAACCAAAAGTTGAGATATTCTAAAAGTATGTGCATGTGATGGTTCACACTTTTTCCTTAACATCATTTGACTCGAGGTCTTTCTTATGGTAATATTTTACTTCATCTCCAATACTCTAATTTCCTTAGGCTTAGTGTCTAGAATTTTAACTTGCAGTTCATTCCTTTGTGTACCCAGAGCATCTTTGTTACTCTTTACATATATGTGAGATATTTTTCCATGTTAACATGGTTAAGGTCAAAACAAATTATGAGGTCTAGTGAATTCTACTAATTAATATTAAAATTAAACTAAAGGGATATAATTTTGTGTCCAATACAGTACTAACTGTTTGCTTTGCAAGGGATGGTGTATTTGGATGTTTATGATAACACAATCATAGCAAAGTATTGTTTGCTACATTTCTTCAGCCACAAAATTTGACCTGAAATCCACTGTTGCCACAACATTGGGCTTGATGAGCAATTAGTAAAATATTTTTCCTAGTAATGTTGGTTTCAAGAACCATATTATCAGAAGTGAGTGCATTTAGTGGAAGACACGTTGTTTCTTCTTCTACAGCCTCAGCAGGCACAAATCTTAAGGTGTCTTTATGTGTAAGGACTGTAAGCCTTTGAAAGCAGTTGAGAGCTACTGAACTCTTCAGTGGCTGTTTGTGTGTACACGGGTTTAAGTCTAGAGCAGAAAGCCACACCAGACTGTACATATCATGGTGTGCTGAGACACTTCAGACCGGTCATCCTCCGTGGACAGGAACTGTGTCAGAACCCAAATAGTCCACCAATAGCAGTTCTGCTTTCCTGACAACGCTCTCAGCAACTGCACTTTTTTCAGTAATGAGAAAGTAAGACGTCGCACGTGAAAACGTGTTTTGCAGTTAAAGTTTGGAAGAGCCGGCATGGAGTCGCTGAGGCAGCTGAGAGGTTTGTGACGGAGCTGCTGCTTCCAGAGACCAGGAGACACAGCGACACAAGAGCAGAGCTGTAGCCTCAGAACTAAAACCTTGCCATTTCCTCTCCCTCAGCTGAGTAGGATTCCAGCCTACCCCCACTCTTCATCTGATGCTGTGGTGGCTTCTTACTGCATTTCTGCCTGGTTTAATTATGTGTTTAGTCGCTCATAGATCAGAGATCTCTTTAAAAGAAAAAAAAAACAACCAAAAAAAACCCCAACTTCTATGTAAAGCCATTGAAGGAGAACATGCGCCTGTACTGAATTGAACGTATTTTTTGCCTCATATGTAGAGAAATTGTTGTGTTTTATACTTCTAGTGAGTTTTTCTGAAAGCTTGCAGAAGAAGCAATAGCTGCCTGATCCATACAAGCTATTCATGTTTTATATTTCCCTCTTTTAGTTTTGCTTCCAATATAAAAACTCCTCCACTACCACTTTCTTGGATAATGTGTGCTGTATAGAAGGTAAAAAAAAAGTAACTTCGGTTTAACTTTTCCTACCTTACAGAATTATGGACTCATTTAGTTTGGAAAAGACCTTTATGACCATGGAGTTCAACCAATCTTCTCCTAAGTATATGAATATTTTGAATCTGGTAAACGTTTCTGTACATTAGGTCTTTCATGGCATGGTGCCTGACCTATCTCAAAAAACCAGGGAAATGTTATCAGCTTGTGTTCAAGTAACTAGGATTTGTTAGAGGCTCTTCAGTGAAGAAAAGCCCTTTTCAGTCTTCCAATCAAAAAATCATTAGGCAAGCATTAAAAAAAAGTGAGTCATGTTCTACTGTCTTGTTCTCTTAATTTCTAGGCTATTTTCTTTTTCTTGCATCAATAGAGCTTTGTCTTGTGTATGCATTATTAAAAAAAAACCCCACAAAAAATTAACACCCAAAACAAAAAAAACCCAACCAAACAGACAAAAAATAAACCCCAACAAAAACAGACCATTCAATCTCTTTCAAGTTGATCAGTAGAGTTGTTTTCTCCTATGAGCAATGCAGAGGCTGCAATCCATGCACAGAATTCTTGTTGACATGGCTGAACTGGGAACAAGCTAAGCAGTCTGAGATAAGATCAGGGTGATTTTTCTGTCTGAGGGAAGCATTTATCATCATATGCTTTTGTGAAGAGATCGTCACTGTGCAGGAAGAATGTGACGTATCAGAAAACTCTGTCCAGGCACAGAGAATGGGGCTGCTCATGGCACCATGTGCTGCTGGGGTGCTGTCTCTCCCCAGAAGAGGTTATCCAGAATCTGAGGTCCACCAGAAATTGTATCACTTCCTAGATTTTCCTTTATAAGTTCACAGGGTGCCATATAAAATACAGCTTTAAAAAACCTCCTGTACTCAAAGAGTAGAAAGGAGAGCTACAGAAATACAGCAGATGCCAGTTATATTATTCAGCAGTATTTCTAGGAGGTGCATCTCCTGAGGCAGTAAGAATAAAAGAAATTATAAAGAGAGAATTTTTGCAGAATTGTTACTTTTGCTTGGAGATGAGTTCAGAGAGAAGAGGGAAGACAGTCCAAAAGGGAATGCAGGACTATTGAAGAGTCTGGTACATGTTGGGACACTGTGGCATAAACAAGCAAGTAAGACTTTTTGTGTTAGACAGACTATCCAGGATAACTGGGCACTAACCCGCTGTGCATTGATGAGCCTTGATGGCATGTGATGCTCATAAATAAGGACAAACTTGCAAGTCAAGCACAGCTCAAGCTTTTCACAGTTGCTGGTCAGAATTTTAAAACAGGAGCTCATCAATTAGAAAAGCAGTTTACCACACAAGTAATTAGCAACCACAGAAACATCATTCAGTTTATGCTGTGGTTCTCCCTGTCAAGAGGTCATCTGCATTTGAATCTTAAATGAAAACCAAAATTTCTGTTATTTTATAAATATAATATTTTAGAAAGCCAGATTGCACTCTGTCAAGTTCATCTTGAATGTGCATTCCCTGAGCATCTGACAGTACACTCTTCAGAGATAACCATATTTACTCCATGCTGAAAGTTGGTTTTATAGCTGTCTCAGGTGAGGAAGATCGAAGTAGTTGTAGATAGCTGTGAAATGCTTTTTCCTACACACATGTGTCTTCAGACATATGTTCAGCTGTGTCTGTGTGCTTAGAATTTGCACTTTTAAAAATTATATTGGTTTTGAATTTATATTGTGGGATTTTGTCTTAAAATATTTTGTTTCATCTCACATGTTAGTAATGACACAATATACAGTGCACTACTGGTGCATCTTAAAACCACGTAAAGTAGTTTTAAAAATCATTGCCTACTGCTCACTGGTCACCAAATATAGTGGCCTTCTCTCCTCGTGTTTTGTGCGGCCTCTTCAGACCAATAAGATATTTTGCCAAAAAGACACATTTCTTTCATTTCTTTGTGAACTTCTATTGAAGAAGATTTTAATGAGGAAGGCCATTTCTTTTGATTAGAGCAATTTTTTGATTTTTTTTTCTCCTAACAGAAGCTGCCATTGTTGCAGCTATGTCTTTTCAGTGCCAGAACCACTGCTAAAGCTGAGTTCTTTACCCAGTTTTGTTTTCCCTAACTGCATGCACCACAGTTTGCCCTTTTTGTGCTTGGAGAAGTTCTGGCTGCTTTTTTCTAGGACTTCTGAGTTTGTCACTCACACTCTCTTGCCATAGCTTACTGTAGTTTTTGAACTTCTGATTCTTGTTGAAAGGATCAAAAGTTTTAGATGGTGAGAAGTGCTTTAGTGTGTGCAGAGAAGCATCTATGACCGTGAAGAGTTTTCTGGTCTTCATATCTACTCACCACTTCCTGTAATTGTAGGAAAAAGGCCAGATGATCTAAGAGGCTCTTTCTACTCTTATTTTCGTATTAGCCATCTTTGTGTTTAGAAAACAAAACACAACACAATAAAAAGCAAATACATGAGAAGAGAGGGAAAAAAAAAGTAAAGAAACCAGAAAGTACAAAACATGCTCTGACAACAGCTGGGAATTCAGCCCTTTACTATGAATTCTGATTTTGCTTTCTGCTACATCACAGTTTGCTGATTACTAGCTTTGTCATGGTGTAATTTCCCAGAAATAATTCCTGTTGCACTTTGATCTGCCACTCCTGCAGCTTGTGTGGTAAGGCATTGCTGCTGAACTTCATTTGACTTCCTAGTGCCATTGCTTTGTATACAGTGTTGGAGCATGATTAGGAGATGAATAATAACATCAGTAGCAACATTACATTATACTCACTACAGTATTTTGTAAAGATGGTCTGCACGGACACAAAAAGAAGTTTTGTAAAAATAAATATTTAACTCATAGCTGGAAAGGACACTTAATTAATACATTATACATGATGCAGTTTATTTGGAAACAAGCAATTTCAAGTATTTTAGTACTGCTTTTTTGCATTCTTTCCTCATATATTCTGTTTCACTTTGTCTCATGTATCCTGTCTAATTGCAGTAAAAAAATTGTAGTTGGCAGGATGCTAGCCAGATACTCCCTTGCTGTCTTCACTTCTGATGTTTCAGAAAGATACACATGCATTTTCCCAGAGCAGTGTTGTGTAACTCCCTACTGTAATGGTTTATGTTAATTTTGAAAGGCAAGTAGGACTTTCTGATTTCTTATGTAGATTAAGGCTGATATTAAATATTAAGTAAGGCAAAGAATACAAAAGAAATAGAAATTATGTTATTTCCTAGAGCCTTTAAGGCTGGCAAAGTAGAGGGCTAAGCTTGAGATAAGTCAGTTAATAATTTTTTCTCAGGCATGTATTGGTGACAGACTAGTTAAGTCAAATAATGCAACGGGTTTAATAGCTCTGTTCATTTCTGAAATCACAATCAGTTACAGTTCTAAGTGTGAATTCTATGTATGGAGTGGCATTTTTTGGCCTGCAATATAGGTATGACATTGAGATTCACAGACTGCAAATCTTCAAGGAATACAGAAAAATAAATTAATAAGTCCCAGTAAACTGTGAAGAGTGCAAGACAAATGAAAGACAAAATTAAATGTCTTTATTTGGCATAGATTTAAATCTGGATTTAAAATGAGAAGAGTTCATCTTGTTTTGTCTTACATTTTCCTGTTTGTACCATGCAGCAACCCCAAGGTTAGTTTCAGGGGTAGCAAGAGTAAAATTATTTTGTGAATATCAAGTTTGACAAGTTATAGTTCCTTGGTATAAATGGATGTCTGGACTGCAGTTAATGTTGAGGGCAGGGAAATTGGGAGGCAAATAATGCCCATGGAATGAGGAAAAGTATGCATGCTGAAAAGGAGAGAACAGCTTTTTAGCAAATATATGCTGGAGCAGGGATGATGTTTGTCTCTATGCCAGTAGAGCTTGGAATTAGCTTGGAGTTAGGCTTGGATTTGGGGTCAGCTAGTGCTCAAGCATGCTTCTGTTCCTCTTCTCGTTCTCACTCACTCTTCTTGTGAGTGAAACTGTGCGCTCTGGGCTCTCAGGAGAACCTGTGGCTGCAGAGCTGTGCCAGCACAGCACAGAGATTCACAGTGAGTTTCATGACTAGATGGGAGTAGTTGCTGTGGGTATTTCAAAGATACAAGGCCATTCTCTGAACAGTAGCTGTCATCCTGCAAGGACTCTGAAATATGTTTGTCTTCTGGGAAACTTAGAAAAAAAAATGCAAGTGTTTATAAATGTACACAGTGCAATGTTCAGCTTGACGGTTAATGCTGGAAAGCTGTTCCAGTTTCAGATATTGCACACACAGTGTTGCTGTTCATTTTAAAGCTGTTTCCTCTTTCCACAAAAACTCCTAAGCCTTCTCTCCCATCAGCCCAGTTAGCATTTTATGCCCATACCCAACTCAGTAGTACCTAGCAAGGTGGGAGAGTGTAACACCATGTCTTCCTCCTTCTTCCTCCCACCATTGACCAGCTCCAGCCCTCTGTGTCACTGCAAGTATTTGCAGATTATGTTATCTGTTGGCACATGACCAGTGCAGTAGCTGCTTATGAGCTCTATTTACTTGGTCCTGAGCAGTGGCAGTTCTGCTTTTCACTGTGCTGAAAAGGCTCAGAAACACTCATAAAACAACAAGAAAATCAGAGGCCTCTTCACAGCTACTACAATTGTTTTGATAGAGAGGTGTTTCTATGCAGCTAAGTTGCATATTTAGAGATGCGAGAAGTACACAAAGTCCTGTTCCTGCTGCCTGCATGATCACCCTTTTCCAACAAGGTAATTGAGAAGGAGATGGCATTTTTTAAATGTCCAGACGCACAAGAAAGAGAATCTGAAACTAAACCCCAGCTGCACTGATGAAATAATGTTATTTGTGTTTAATTGAGGTGAAATAAACTTAAAAAGGAAACTGCAGTTTATCAGTATTTTCTCTGAGCAAACGAGAAAGGTCTAAAACTTTCATGTGCATCTAAAACTTTTTGTCATAACCATTTTATTCAAACTAACATCACAGCAGTAAAATCAGATGATCCCTAGGAAGTTAATATGATATATATACAAAAATTGCTTTAAAATGTAATAATTTCACAATTTTTTTTATAGCACAAGGTATATTTGTGTTAGCTATCTATAAAATTTTAGAGAATTTTGCTTTAAACAACCTATTGACGGACCAAAAAGATATGATTTCTAATTGAATTCAATTGGGGCCCCATTGCTTGTCTTTGTACAGTCTCCAAAATGGACTGCTTATTACCATGGATTGTTCTGTATGAAAATAAAGTCATATTGCTGCTGGAGCATATAACCACAGTCCCTGCTTTTCAATAATCTGCTTTATTTTTAATAGCCATTGAGATCATCATTTAGAGACTTTTGATGGAAGATAGGTGTTCTTAAACGGTGTTCCAAGAAGGTGAACTAAACAGTTTTGTGAAAGCTTTCAGATAAAAGTGAAGAGTTTTGAGGAGCAGATGTTGGGGGGAAACCTTATGGCAGATGAACAAATGAGTCAGAGAACATAAATCACTTTGTGTTGCAGGCAGAATTATCATAGTATTAACTTTCTTGTTCAGGATTACAGAATTTATGCAGCAGATATTGTTACCACCTGCAGTATTTTCTTTCTGACTCAGTGTTATCAAGGTGTGGTAGTGCTCAAGCTCAGACATAAGGGTTTTATTGTTGCTGAGCAGATCCTGTAGAAAATGCTTCTTATCAGTTAAAAGAATAACCTAAAAGGAATCAGTTAGCCATTAACTGATAGAACAAGACGTAATATGTATCTTGATCCCCAACATATATATTTCTACATTTTTATGTGTCTATATATATTAGTACTGTCACGGTATTTCTTCTGACCTATGACATAATGTCACCTCTAAAAAGGTACACATGTTGGAGGCAAATGAAATGAGAGCCCAAAGGCTCTCCCATTCTTCTTCTCCACCAAAACTGTCCCTGATGAATCCAGTGCAGTGTATTGCCATGCAAGTAAAGCTTCTGGACTGTTCTGGAGAAGACTTCTACACCTGAATGCTTTGGATGCTCCTGAAAGCCTCTCTACCTGTTACCTACAGTGTGCCATGCAATGCTGCTGCTGAACTTTTTCAGTATCGTTAAGGACATAATGAAATTCCTTTTCCTTTAGGTTGTTGGTTGGTTCCCCCTGGAGTGGCTATCCTGCAAACAGAACTGGAGATATATATGCATGTCCTGTTGGTGTGTCCAAAAGCACATGTAAAAAATTGAATTTACAAGGTACGTTCTAACAGTGTCTTGCTGCACTTGTTCAGTTTTCCCTTGTGTTTGTACGAGGCAAATCTACCTTATTAAAACTTTACATAACTATCTGTCTGCATAATCTCAGATTCTGTGAAGGCATGTGTGTGCTGCAAGGCCTCAGTGCTGATGAGACATGTCTGTCTGAGCAAAAATTGGTGCCTGCCACTGGGCTCAGGCCAGGTGGTGCCAGCTGCTGGAGGCACTGGGGTTTGTTTCACCCACTGGAGCACCTGGGGTCTTTGCCCTCCAGCCAAGGGGCAGGAGCACTGTGGGTCCCAAAGCCAGTGGCTGGTGGGCACAGGGCTCCATGCTGGCATCCAGGGCGGGTGCCTCTCCCTATCCTCCCTAAACCAGATAGGGGTGTGTGTCTGTGCTTGCAAGCTAGCTATCAAATGGAGCTCAGGTCAGGATATAGTGAAAATATGTGGCAGCAGGGTGTGCTGAGATGCCTCCTCTGTGTTTATTTGTGGTGCAGATAATTTCTGCCCTCCACTGCCCCTTCCAGTTTTTTTGTCTAAAGCCTGATACTGGATCAGGAGTCTGGTGTCCTGAGGAATGTAACAGTAGCTACTCAGCTGCAGCTATTCAGCCTGCCAAAAACATGCAATAGGTAGATTTTTTTCTTCCTCTCTTTTGCCTTCAGCTCTCTTGAGGGCAGATACTCTAAATGGCCATCCTTAATTGATGTCTGTATTTGACGGTTAGCTTTTTTTTCCCCCAAAGATTGGCTTTTGTTTCTTTTGTCTCAGAATTGCATGCAACCATTAGGAAAAGGCACCTTAGATTATGAAAAATCAAGTTTTTGGAACGAATTCTAACCTAGTAAATTGTTTCTACATCTTATTTATTATTCTGTCATTACTTAATTTAATTTTATTTCAGCTTTAATAAATATTCCAAATGTGACTGAAATTAAAAAGGACATGAACCTTGGCTTGACTCTGATACAGAACTCAAAAACTGGAGGATTTTTGGTATGTATTAAGATCATATGCAGTACACACAGAAACTTCTGAAGAGAATTAAGAAACCAGAATTCTCCACATTTTTTCATAAGTCCAGGTTAAATGTATTTTATTATGCATCATGGATTAGTACATCCCACTGCAATTACCTAGGGTCCAGAATCAATTGTGAAATGCATCATTAATGCAGGAAAAATTGTGAGGTCTCTCCTTTGTTGTTTATCTAAACATCTTATCCTAATTAATGTCTCAGTAATTTAAGTCAGACAATATAGGCAAGAATATTTCCACCATTAAATCTTTTAAGGCAGTCTTATATAATTCTGATTGTGCTTTCAACTGACTTTATATAATCTCTGCTCTATCATTCACACTTGCACAGGCACTCTTCTCCTGAGATATCAGTATTTCTAATCCCTTGGATTTGTGATGTGTTTTATTTGGTTAGTGAGCTTGGAAGAGAATGCATTTTCTTGGTGTGTATTTCACAAACCACTGTCCTTGGAGCTTTCAAAACAGAATTCTGACTTGAAAGGAAGTGCATGCCTGTTTAACATGCCTTTTTATGATCCTAATCATAAGCATGAAAACTCGTGGTGTGTAGGTGTATTTCAGTTTGATGTAGCCATGTGCAGTACGTAAGTAAAACAATAAAACACAGAGAGAACAGCTCTAGGCTGTCCTTTGTATTTTTTGCTGCATCTTCCTAATCACAAAAGTATTCAAGTATTTATCATATTCATTAACTTATAGTTCAGTTTACTGAAATACTTAGAAGTATGCCTAATTCCAACCTTTCTAGAAGTTCTCTTGGATTTAGTAAAGTTATTCATAACTTAAAAGTATAGCAACAGTAATTTTCTTGACTTGTGGCTTGAAAAGGCTTTGATTAAAAAATCTTATTCTCTCTCTTGAGCAGTACTTTCAATTACTGTTAATGTCCTGTGCATACCCACTTTTAGTCATTATGAGTAACTGCAGCATTTAAAAATATCTCATGCAGGGAAATTTGTACTTTCTAATAATATTTGAACTTCTCTCAGTTAAAAAGTATTTCCTGATCCACATGTTACTGATTGATTCTCTCTGAATTGCATGGATTTAAAAAAGAAATTAAAAGAAAAAAACAAACAGTTGAATTCTAAGACATAAACAGTCACGTTTTCATCAGCAGCAGTTCTTTTTTTACATAAGGAGAACAAGGTTCTGGAGACAGGTGCTTATCTGTGACTCAGCCTCAACAAATACCAAAAGCCCCATGGTTTAGCTGTGGCAGGTATTGAACCCCGTGCATGGACAGCCTGCTCATATTTGCAAGCTGCTTCCAGCTGGGACTTTGCTCCAGAACTCTTGTCTGTGGGAGCTGGCCTCTGTGACAGGCTCTGTGGGTTTTTTCAGGATTTCCTCCTCCCAGCTCACTCTTCTCCTTCCTCCTGTGGCCTCTCTCAGCCTCTATCTGCCTGCCCCAGTCTGTGCTGCGTGCTCAGTCCCTGGGCTCTTTGGCTTGGGAGCGTGATCCAGGCTGGCATGTCTGTGCTGCAGCTCCCAGTCCTGCTGGTTTGGCTGTTTGATGCCAGGGGATTGCTTCCCACAGGTGTTCTAAGTGCAGGGCAGTCATTTCCCACAGGCTCATTACATTTTTCTGAGGCATGCTTCGTCCTGTTGGAGAGGTGCTGAAGAATTTCACTGACGGTTAACAAGGTCTTTCTGGATTTCCCATCTATATTTTTATCAGTTTGTTTACTGGGCAGTGCTGTGCCTTTAGTTGAAAGAAGCAGCTCTCATCTCCCTGCATGTAAAATCTCTCTTCTTTATTTGACAGCCCACAACCACCTTTCTCCTTTGTCTTGCTAAACAAATACAGAGCTTTTTTGGCTGAAATGTTCTTTTTAAAATACATCTCTCTCAAACATCAGTGACCAGGTCTCTTCTGTATTCCACATGAGTCCTTCCCAAGCACTATACAGTATATTTGGTATTTCCCCCACTCAACAGCTTCTTGTCACACATCCTTAAGCCATATTTGCTTTGCATGCTGGCTGCATGCTTGCAGACACCCTGCAGCCATCCAGTGCCTGATCCATCTGCTTCTCTCCCTTCCATTCAATGACCTTCCAGTTTATGCCCAGATTTCTTAATGTTAGTCCTGAAGGGCAAGTCTCCACCCCTTTATAACTTTCTGCCTGTCAAGTTCACCTGATCTTGATATGTGATCTCCCCTTCAGTAATGATGCATCTTAAATTTCAGACTTAAGCAATGCTAGAACATTAATTTTCCCCCGTTTTTGTTCCTCTGAAGATCAAAAAAGATTATTAGAAAATTTTTGGTTTTTGCTCCAAGATTAACATCACAGTTTTGAACTACCACCAATAGAGAAAAAAAATTAGAAAATGGGCAAATAAGACTGATCTAAAAAGAACTTTAAATAACTTTAAAGGCCAGTAACCCTCCTCCAGCTTTGTAGAGATGAGTTATTTTGTACCTTTCACCTCTCTAAAAATCTGTCTTTTTCAGTAAGACCTAGCCATGCCTTGTGTAGCAGCTAAAAAAAGCACTTATCTCAAGATCAGATAATGTGGATATACTTCCTTTCTCATCTAGAAAATCCGCCATCTGGTCAAATGTCTTAGGATAGTTTGATGTTGTCTCTCACTGGGAAACCAAGTGGGTGATTTAGCTCATTTTCGACTTACTTTTGAATTTAATTACTTTTTTCTGCCCTCTAGTATTCTTGAGAAAAAGTCCCTCTTTTCCTAAGTAAAAGTGGGTGCAACCAGAGTGTATATATAAGGAAACTGTAATTTCTCACAGACCGGTTGGAGAGAGGTTATGTAGAGGTTATATTTATTTCCTGGAGTTTGTAATGTTTTCTCTTAAGAAGGAAATGCACCCACCAACTCACCACCTCAACCCACACACACACACCTCCCCCTACATTCTCACGGCAAGACACTCTCTTAATACGTGGTTGATATCAGTGCGTATAAAGATGTATAAAACGTAAATGACAGCAGGAAATACCGCTGTTTACAGAGGTGGTTCCCAGCAGCGAAGCAGGGTCATTTTCCCCCAAACACGTAGCCGGGGGGATGCGCGCCCAGGGGCAGACCTCTCCCGCTGGTGTAGCCGAGAGAGTGCTCACCGCCAGGCGGGAGATGCTGCAGTTTACCCCGTGAATGCGAGGTGAATTCCCGGTGGGACGAGGGTTTGGAGGGGCCCGTTCCCCGGTTCCCGTTTCCCGGTTCCCGGTTCATTCCCCGGTTCCCGTTCCCGGTTCCCCGGTTCCCGTTCCCGGTTCCCGTTCCCGGTTCCCGTTCCCGGTTCCCGTTCCCGGTTCCCGTTCCCGGTTCCCGGTTCATTCCCCGGTTCATTCCCCGGTTCCCGTTCCCCGGTTCCCGTTCCCGTTCCCGTTCCCCGGTTCCCGTTCCCCGTTCCCCGGTTCCCGCCTGCGCGGGGCGCTGCCGCCACCTGGCGGCCGCGGTTGGCGCTGCAGCGCGGGGCGCCGGCAGGAATTCTGCTCCGTGGGGAACTCTGTGAGAGGGCGGCGCTGGCTGGCCCCGTAACCCCAGAGAGCTTCGCTGGTCCCATGCGCCTGTCGTCCTGTTTGAGGCGGTTTTGTGTATGGATATGGTGAGACGAGTATTTGTTGTTTTTATCGTTTCTTTTTGTTGTTATTTTTTTTTCAAGACTTGTGGTCCCTTGTGGGCGCAGCAGTGTGGAAGACAGTACTATGCAACAGGAGTTTGTTCTGAAATCAGTCCAAGTTTTGAGATCTTAAGAAGCTTTTCTCCAGCTGTTCAAAGTAAGGCAACATGAACAAAATACATTTAATTTTTAAAAAACCACCAAAACCAAATCTATCAAACAAAATAAAGAGATAACTGTGCTGATGACTGTTCATTTTGATTTCTTAAAAAAAAAAAAAGTATGTGCTACAAGCAAAATCCTGGGATCTGTGTGTAAAGGCTGATGAATTGTGATCTGATGCTGATGTAAATATGGTCTTAATCCTCTGTATTCAGAGGATACACCAGCGCAGGCTTAAAACCTCCGTATGCTCTTATTGAGTCCTCATTCTGGCAAAGCCTCCTGATCTGAAATGTTGCCTATGTGAATATGCACCTCTGGATTTGGCTGAGGAGTATACTGAGATTGCAAATGCGTTTAATGTCCACTTCTTATTTTTGTTTTAGAGTGTTCCTCTGTTATAGATGTTGTGGTGGTTTGTGATGAGTCAAACAGCATTTATCCCTGGGATGCAGTGCGAGCGTTTTTGAAAAAATTTGTACAAGGCTTAGACATAGGCATTAACAAGACCCAGGTAAGTCAAAGACATATTTGAGAAAGACCAAAAAAACCCAAACAAAACATAAACCAAACAATTCTAAAGGAAACCAAGCGTGATTTTGTGTAACTACAGTACCTCACTCAAAGCCACGGATTACACAGTTATCCTACTCAGTGTTGGGAATTTTATCTCATGGTTATCCTATTTCAAAAGGGATTAGTCATTTGATCCAAAATCTAAATTAACTGAAATAGAGGTCTATGTGGTATCTAGGGGAGTCAGATCTCTTTCACACAATAGGTGTAAAAGTAATTGAAAATAGCCTTTGGGGATGTGATAAAAGTAGAACAGACTTTTAGTGGACTTTTCATACAACTCTTACTTTCCAACTGCTGCATCTTTAAAACAGGAACTTTTCCTGCCAGTTTACTCACTGATCTTTGAGGGTTTTTTTTTCCTTTTGATTTGATGATGGTAAGGAAAAATTTATTGCCTTTTTTTTGTTTTAAATAGCTTCTGTCTTTACAGTTGTCCATTTTCCCTAAACAGTTCTGAGAACAAAGACTGGGGCACTGGAAATCTCTCTCTCAAAGGCTGCCTTCTTCCTTGGGCTACTTTGGAAGTGAGGTGCTTAAAAGCTAGGCTTCCTGCTCAGTTCTTTCTGAACCTCACCATTAGCATCTTCTCTTTTTTGCCTTTCTTTTAAATGCACATCTTGTCTTACATCTTTAGCTTCACGTATATTAAAAACAAGTAGGGTTTGCAGTGCTGTAAAGTGACTAACCTCTAGGACTTCCTTAGAAGAGATCAGACTGAGGTGCTGTCAGCTTGTAGAATTATTGCTATTTTCTCTTTTTTCTGAGAGCTCCTTGTATTATTGTTACCCATCAGCCCTTCCAGAAGTAACCAAGCAAACATTTAATGTCTACTATTTCAGATCATTTGCGGTAACATACAGTAGTCCATAACAAATTATACAAACTGAAAGAGCATTTTAGCTTTCTTTGCTTTTCAAATGTGTTAATGTTAATTGGTTTTATATGTGTTGAAAGAGAACTGTGCATTTGCAGACCTTTTACACCAACCTGATGCATAAGGAAGCACCATGATTCTATGTAACTAATTGTAAATCATCATAATCTGACACCATTTTTTTTATTGCATAGGTGGGTTTAATTCAGTATGCTAATGATCCCCGAGTAGTATTCAACTTGAACACATATCAAACCAAGGATGAGGTTGTTAAAGCGATGGAGAAAACGTCTCAGAAGGGAGGAGATCTCACTAATACTTTCAAAGCCATTGACAATGCAAGGTGAGATGCATTGATGATCTACTGTGCAACTGTTGTAACTTACCTTACATGGCAATGAAAACATCTTGGAATTGATTCCCACTGGAAGTCCATGTGCACAGAGCATCTGGAGTAGGTTCCCAGCACTAGGCAGAATCCATCAGGTACATTTACAGTGTCCCATGCAGACTGGTACAGGCATATATAAACTAGAATTGCTGAAAAGCATATTGTTAACCATTGAGTTCAACTCTACCCCAAAGGAATTCTAGCACCCAACAGAATTGCTTGTTATGTCACAGATCTGTAAACCTGACAGTGTGTCAAACAGAGTGGACAAGGTTTTGGGAAAGATACAAAGCACTGCAAGAAGCAAAGTTTATCCAGGGATTCAGTGGGCCCAGTAACAATTGTGTTTGCAGATCAGTCTTTGGTTGATTGCTGAGAAAATAAAATCTCTTCTCTGTTGTCAGTTTATCACTGCAGCACCATGAATGTGAAAAAACAGGGAAAATTTAAACCAATGTTTAATGACTTGGAACACATATACAAACCAGGTCTATTTCTCAACAAGAAGATCCTGTTTTGAAGTTTTATCAAGTACAGATCTGTAGGCCAAAATACATGCTGAATCAAATGAACTTGAGAATTTGGTTTAGGAACAGGCTCAGCTGTCAATGGAGTCAATATTTGCAGTACTATTGAGATGCCTATTATTAATTCTGTTCCATTTTTGTATGAAGTTGATAATACCAATTCCTTGAGTCATAAAACTTTAATAGTTCTGATACAACCCCCTTTTTGTATAGAAATATTTGTACCAAAAAAAATGTACTGTTTTTCTTGGAATTTATATTTTTTATTCAGAAACACCACCCAGTCCTTCCAGTCCTACTTTTTTTTTTTTTCTCCTCCTTTGGTTACATTTCTTATGCACTACAGAAGCAACTTGCTCTAATTCAGTGATGGACATATCCATTACAGTGAATGTGCTGGATTCCATCCATGATGAATTGATGTGTGATAAACCCAATGTTTTATAACAGACAGTATGCCTTCTCAGCTGAGTCAGGAGGACGCCCGACAGCCACAAAGGTCATGGTTGTTGTGACAGACGGTGAATCACATGATGGCTCCAAATTGAAAACAGTGATAGGTAAATGCAATGAAGACAATATAACCAGATTTGGCATTGCTGTAAGTAATACTGAAATTATACATCACTTCATGTTTGAAAGATTGTTTTGCTATGTATGTATCATGTACAAGTTCTATACAAAAGTGGTATGTAATGCACACATTGTTACATTGGTGAGACTGAAGCAAAGTCAAATTAATCCTCTGAGGGAAATACTGGTCTTTTCACTGGCTGAAAAAGTAATTGAATTGCCTGAGCAACTTCAGTGATTTTCTCCCTTGTGAGGCCTTATGTACTTTTCCTGTATGAATGGTTTCTTGCATAGAACTGAGCTCTAATAAGCAATTCAGTAATAAGAACAAAGGTAACTTTTTTTAAACGATGTAGAATAATTGCTAAAATAGTACAGGAAGGGAAATGGAGTAGGACCATGATCTATCTCTCTCTCTCTCTCTCTCTTCTTATTTTGTTGTTTGTTTGTTTGTTTCTTTACACAAGGTTTTGGGATACTTAATAAGGCATGAGCTTGATACGAAAAACTTAATTAAAGAAATCAAGGGAATTGCTAGTCACCCAACAGAGAAGTATTTCTTCAATGTGTCGTCTGAGGCTGCACTACTGGAAGAAGCCGGAACACTTGGAGAACGCATTTTTAGTATAGAAGGTAAAATACTCAATGTCTTTGAGAAATTAGATCCAATTCTCCTAGCTGATGAGCCTAGGATTTTATTTAGCTTCCATTTAGTGCAGTATTGTGAAAATGAGGGGTAGCTGGAGCTGCAGGCTACTCCCTGCTCCTCCCTTCTCATGTGGCCTCTGGTTTTCACAGGTGTTCCCCCAGCTACTCCACCCCTAATTAGCCTGAGCCTTAAGTTAATCTATGGGGTTTGGAGAAAAATTTCCCAGCTAATGAAAATTTCTATTGTGTCATGGGCTTCAGGCATGGGGGCTTTTTCATATGCAACCAAATGTATTTGTTAATACCAGAAGAATAAAGGTGTCTTTATGCTTATGAGCTTCACCTGTGTGAATCCTAAGCTATTTTTAAATTCAAAACAAAAAAAACCAAAACAAAATTTAAGAAAACACACCACCAAAAAAAAAACCAAAACCAAAACACAATAAAAAAACCAAACCCACAACCCATACAAAACAAACTAGAAGACTATGTTGCTTATTACAGAACTGAAAATGCAATTTGTATAGTGCCTATCAGGTCCCCTCCCTAGCACCACCCACACTCCTGTGTATTGCTCAGAGGAAGGTGTTACAGAGATGACACAGAGAAACTTTGTCTGTCCCAAAAGCCAGCTTTTAAATTTAAGTTAAATTCAGACCTTGCCTTGGAGGTGTGTAACCTTCTCTCAGTTCTCAAAGAAGCTTCTGTCTACCAGGAAGCTTCTGTGCTCAGGAAGACATCTTCCCTTCTCTTTCACCTTCATTTATTCTTTGCTAGACCCATGATGCTACTCAAAGCAAGGGAATAGGTCTTTTTACTGAGTATTCCCACTGAATTCCTATCCATCTACCTTAGGAAATGGATCTCACAGTATTTTTCAAGACAATTGCAACAGGTTTTAGGAGCCCTATACAAAAATAAAAATGTCTGTTCTGTTTGGAAGTTGTAACTATACAGTCATTAAAGTTGTTCATTTCAGGGTATTAATGCTTCCTAGTTAACACAAAAATAGACCAGCCACAATGGCAAGTCTGTGCAAACTGATTCAAACCATCTTGACCATCATCTTCTGCCCTTCTTTTGGAAGAGATTTATAGCATGGCTCTTGGCTCCATCTTATCAATTTGCCATTAAATCCTCCAAATTTTCTACAGTTTACCAGCTCTGATTTCCATTGCTTGTAAATGCTTTAGCCAAATTGGTGGATATACACAGCCCCTATACAGCTAAACTCAGAGGCAACAAGATTGGATTTTGTGTGATTACATAGAGATAACCATATATACATATCTGTTTTACCAGGTACTGATCAAGGTGATACTTTCCAAATGGAAATGTCACAGGTGGGCTTCAGTGCATATTACTCACAGAAAAAGGTATGTGAGTTTAATTATTTATTGATACAAATAGATGTACATATACATGATTGTAAGAAAAGGGAAATAAATATACAATGTCCAATTTTAAGAACATTTTACAAGCAGAATATCAAATTATCCTTTAATTTTTTTTTACTTGAATATATATTAATAAGTATAATTATATTGAGGTTTGTTTCATGTACTAATTTTGAGATGTGTTAAAACAGTGATTTCAGTGATTTCTGAGTTCATGTAGCAGGAAAAATTTAATTCCTCCTTGTTTGTGACTAGCTATATTGTAAAGCTGGTAGGCAGCCACCAAAATATAAATAAATCAAATCTGAAAATAATTTCTCTATAAATTACAAAATTAATTATATTTGTTTAAAGCGTATTTCACTTAAATATTAAAACCAAAAAATCAGATATATTTTTGTGCTAATCAATTTTAAGATTATCAAATAAGTCCTCCTTGTAAAATCCAAATGTAGTTCAGTCAACTTTCAACTGAAAAAACAAGAAGGTTGTTTCTTTCTCATAACCCTTAAAGATTAATGAAATAATTTTTTATAAGTCCTTTGTATCTGCACAAATTGAAGTTTTAAATTATGAAGCAGTTGATGCTAAGAAATGGCAAAAAAAAAGAGAAACATATGGGCATTTTATCAGGAAAATTACACATTCAATTTTATTGCAGTTTTCTGTAACAGTATGTCAGTTTAGTGAAGAATTTTAATAACTTGAATAAACTAAACTATGTTTGTTTACGGTGTACAAGTATAAGATTAAGTGTTTCTGTATGAAGTATTCTGTATAATGAGCCATGCTAATTTGGATTTTAGCTTTAACTCTTCTCTCAGGGACATCTTTCATAAAGAATTAACCATATCTATTCGCATCAGCTTTTGTGTGCTGTCATTGGCACTTTTGCTGTTGAGAAAAGGGGCTTTAGCTTTTTTGTACAGCTGCATTTGTGTCATCCTCAGTCTTCTGAAGATCATGGGTGCACAAAAGCATGGACTTAGCAAGCCCAACCCCAGCATGGACAGACATAGGAAATTATCAGTGTTTAAATAAACCCATTTTATCATGAGTTGCAGTGCCACTAGAACTAAAGCAGTCACTTATTCTCTTGCAGTCGAAGGGTGATAATCCCTTTTAAGGGACAGTAAAGTCCTGCATGTAAGGAGCAATTACGAGCAGCTCCAGTGAGCTGCCTGAAGGCTTTAGTCTGCATCACTGCCTTAAACACAGTGATATAGGAGATTATGCACAGGACCTTCAGCTTTGCTCACACTTCTTCTAAACCAGGTAGTTCTAAAATGTAGACTTTTATTTTTTAAAGGATATTCTGCTGCTGGGTGCAGTTGGGGCCTATGACTGGAGTGGAACAGTAGTTCAGGAGTCTTCAGACAGAGCCACCACCTTTCCAAGCCATGTGTTTGAGAAGATTCTACAGGACAGAAATCATAGCTCATATCTAGGTAAGGGGCTGAAATACAAATCTGGAAATGTATGAAACCTTGATTAAGATATTAAAGAAGTTGGAAAGTTTTTCCCTAGCCAGATTTGTGTTAAGAAGTTATTTGAGAATGTGAAAAGAATTTTTGGTCAAAAAAGATTATTTTTTACTAGTCAACATTTCATTGAATAAAAACTTGAATTATTTTTAAATCCTACTAATATCAAAGTGGTAAGCTGAAAAAAAAATCAGTCTTTGTCCCTGCTGTGGTTTAACCCCAGCTAGAAGCTAAGCAGCCGCTCAGTCAATCCTCTTAAGGGGAGTGAGAATGCAGGAGAGTTAGAAGAGTCAAAGTGAATGAACTTCTGGGCTGAGATACAGACAGAGAAAGTGAGAGTCAAACACACAAGCAAAGCAAATCAAGGGGATTTATTCACCACTTTCCATGGGCAGACAGGTGCATTCAGCCACCCCCAGGACAGCAGGGCTCCAACACACACAACTGTGACTTGGGAAGACAAATGGCATCACTCTGAACATCCCCTCCTTCCCGCTTCGTCCTCCAGCTTTACAGGCTGAGCATGCCAGCACATGGAGCGGGATACCCTGCAGCCATTCCTGGGCAGCTGTCCTGGCTGTGGTCCCCCCCAGCTCCCTGTGACCCCTCCCAGCTCCTCGCTGGTGGGACACACTGAGGAGCAGGAGAGGCCTTGACACTGTCAGTAGTAACTGAAACATCCCTGTGTTATCAACACTGTTTCCATCATAAATCCAAATCACAGTCCACACCAGCTGCTGTGAAGAAAATTAACTATTCCAGCCAAAACCAGCACAATTACAGAGACAAAATAAATAATGGGATTTGAAAAGGCTGCTTAGTGAATCATACTGATCGTTATGAGTTGCTTCTGTTACAATATTTGAGTGTTCTTCCCCAGTTTGATGTGGATGAGAAGCTGATTGACTTTCTATTGTTTCATATGTGCTTGCTGTTTTCTTCGCCTTTTCCAGTTAAGTTTATAGATTTTTAATATTACTACCACTTAATAGAGATTTTAATTATAATCTCCATATGTATTTTTGACATTCTTTTGTGACCCTATAAAGCCTGTCTGTATTTTCAGTTCATTGAACTGCTTCCTGTAAATCTTCAACATGCCTGTTCTGCTGTTTCATCCCTGAATAATGCTACTACATTAAGCATCTATGACTTTCTCATTCTTAAAGATATTTAATAGTTTCCTCTCTTTGCAATTAACATACTCTTTTTTTCCTCCTATGGCTCAGCATTACTTGCATCCAACAAAATGAATAAATCTAAACCCAAGCAAATGAGCAGTAGCACTTTTGCATGTATGACCTCTTCAGACTTTCCCTTACTTCATTTTCTTAATAATTTTTAAAAACTCGGGTATTTTCCTTTCTCTACAAGGCAGTTTCAGTGTATTTACATTAATCTTTCTGGAGCAAACAATGTTGTGGCCTTTATTTCTCCTCAACTTTCTGTCCTCCAGTAGGAGCTCCCCATACCATCTCTCTCTCACCAGAGAAAGACCACTTATGCTTGGGAGAGCATAAGTTAAAGAGCTGCTAAAACATCACAGCCTGCTCAGTTCTGCCACCCTGCTCTGCATGGCACTCGCTCACTTCAAATTATTGTATTCTGTATTAATTAGGAAGGTGTGTACTTAACTTGCAGAATAAAATCTCATTTTGTTGCTCATTGAACTTCCAGTCACAAAAGTTGTCACCTGTGTCTGAACAAAAAATCTGAATTAGACTGGTGTGATGTAAAGATCAAAGCATAATCCTTTTTAGAGTGCTCCTCATATTGTTCTGCTGCTTGCTAAAGATCTACATATTGTGTCCCATCACTGGCATTTTGTTATTGAGTTTTATAAAGGATGACTTTGTTTTCTTTGCTCAAAATAAATTTGATGGAACTAAACCACAGAAATCTGAAATATGCACTAATGCTACATTTATACTGCTAACACATGTTTACATTTTTACAGGTATTAAATTATGTTTCCTGAAAGCAAATAAATGCTAGAATAATGGTAATGAGGATTAAAATGTTCAAAGAAGTTCAATCAACCTTTCAGCTAACAAGCTGTTAATGTAGCCTCTTCTATTCAGACAAGCCACTGGTCTGTGGTTTAGTGAGCTGTGGGAAAATGCACTGCAAACTTTGCAGAAGCTAGGTGTTCCTCCCTAGTTTGAAGACTGGTTCAAACATTCATCTCATATTTATTTCTTCTTTCCAAGGATACTCTTTGCACATTTTTTTTCCTGTCTCCTTCACAAGCATGACATTTTTGTGGTCTACATTTTACTGAATAGGCTAAGCTATTGTGTTATTTTGTAAACCTGCTTCAACTTGATCTGTGTGTCGTTGTTCTCTCCAGGAGAGTATTGCAAATTTTATGCATATGTGACAGCATAACTTCCCATCTGGAATCATCACTCTGTACAATTAACATACCAGACTGACTCATCCTCTGTGCCTTTATGGATAACCAATTGATAAATTGTAATTAAAGATCTCTCACATATGCTAAATGTTGACTTCTATACCCAGGTTATTCTGTTGCTGTTCTCTCAACTATGAGTTCTGTCTATTTTGTTGCTGGCGCACCAAGATCCAACTACACTGGCAGAGTGGTGGTTTATAATGTTGACAGTGATGGTAATGTTGCAATTGTGCAGTCACAGAGAGGCGAGCAGGCAAGTATATTTTGGTCATGAATACAGACTTTCAGGAATCTTTTTTTATTGACCCAGCAGTAAATTGCAATTTTGTTTTGAAAATTCCTCTTTGTCTCAAAGCATGTAAAATCCACTTGAACTTTTCTCTGCCGCTAGACTATTTAAATGAGGTTAGCTGTTATTCTTAAGTAGTATTTTAGGAAGTCATCCAATTAGTGGCAAAAGATAATATACAGTTCTAACTAATGTATCCTTCTGTCAACAATTCAAATCAGGAGATACTCAGTAAACTGCTCTGTCTGAGAAGTTATGAAGTAGATGACATAAGAAGACAGATACAGAAGCTCAGTCTCTTTTTCTCTGTTTGCATAAGAGGAATGGTTTTAGCTGGTTTTGGTATCTTCTGTAGGAGAAATCTGAGAGTAGATCAGAGGCTGGGTAGTTTCATGTGCAGTTATAAAAAATAAATACCTCCCATATCTTACTTTCTGTTGGTATTTGTATTGCTGAGTGGTAAAGCCATAGCAGCAACTACGGGACAGAAATAGTGAAATATGTGTAAGGATGTGATTCTTCCAATAATGGAGTATGCTACAGAGTAATTAAATTCATCAACATTCACTAGCATTGGAATATTACTGGATGTAAGTTTTCTGGATCAGGTGCTAAAACATGATTTACAAAAACGGTATACAGCAACAGCCCATTTGCTTCTGATTTCAGATTGGCTCCTACTTTGGCAGTGTGGTGTGTTCAGTGGATGTCGACAGAGATTCTGTGACAGATGTGCTGCTTGTGGGTGCACCAATGTTTATGAATGACCTGAAAAAGGAAGAAGGGAGAGTATACATGTTTTCCATCACAAAGGTAAAAATGGCTCAAGCCAGCATTACTTAGGGCTAATTTCTTTCAAATCAGACTGGCCACATGGATATTAAAGGGCCTTTGGCCTCTCCAGATCCTCGAAGTCACTATTTAGTGAATCTTTTCAAAGTGTTAGAAATATTTCAAGCAACTTCTTTTTTTTTTTAACAAGAAACAGAGCACGTGCTTATCCTGGGATGTGGCACAAGGTTGAATGGTGCCAAGCCTTCCTGGTTAGAGGGATGTGTGTGGAGGCCTTTCCAATGTTGCCTGACATGTTCTGCTTTTCAGTAGCAGCTGCAAACTTGCCCCAGAGCTGCTTGTGCATGTAATCTGGGAATTAGGCAGCTGGAACAGACCAAAATGGAGCCAATGAGCAAGGCAGTAGCTAAGCACTGTTAGTGGTCAGGGGCCTGGTGTTCTCAGTGTCTCCCTGGTCCTGGTGTCAGGCAATGTGCTTCATGCTAATATAGCATGGGTTGGCTGTACCTCTGAAAAACCTAGCTCAAGGCTTTTGCTAAGTAATTTGCCATTTGTTTTTGGTGAATGTATTCAGTGCCTGACAGTATTCCCAAAGCAGTTCTAAGAAATGCTCTTCTACCAGCTTTCTGCATTGTTTCATAGACTAACACTGGATGGTTACCATAACTCTTGTTGTCCCCTGTATTCAATAAAGCTTAGCTCTTTGTCTGATGCTTGACTGACAGTGCTTTTTATTCAGAACCATAGTAGGTGTTTTCAGAATATATGTATTAACTATACTGAGCCCTCTGGCATTTTTGAACAGTTTTTCATTCACTGGATGTCTGCAAAGTAAATTAATTTCTGACATCCATCAGAGAAAACAGAAAATGGTCTCTTTACTAGGTAAATTGCAATCAAATAAATAGAGAGGAAGCACCATGTTCCTCAACAGAACCTCAGTCAGAGCATCGTGATGCAACAGGAAACTACCCTAAAACAATTTCAGCGTAGATGGAGGAGGTGAAAGTTGGCAGCTAACATTGGTCTTTTTGCTTGTAGTATCAGACATGAGATATGAAAGAAAAATGAAAGGATTTGTTTTTCTTTGCTTTTGAAAACCAAATAAACTGGAAGACTATCTTACAATATTTAGTTATTTTCAAATGTTTGATTTAAATTTTAAATAAGAAAGAACAATGAAATGTGCTTTTAATGTTTTTTAAAAATAATCTGGATTTGTGCAAGTTGTCCCCGTTGCGCAAGTAATACTTTTGTAGTCATTTTTAATAAATAACTTGGCTGTTGTTTCTAAAATTTAAGCACGGTATGGTAACTGAAGTTAAAGGTGAGAATGCTATTTGCCAGAGTTGCATTTAATCTAGTGTAAATGGGATTATTTACTATGAAAATCTCCAGTCTTTCTTTCTTCATTGGCATTGGAGAGGTCAGGAGTTTACCATTTGGACACATGTTTTTTGCATTAGTTTAGTAAGGAAATTCCATTTCTATTTCAAAGAATTATGTCCAGTTACATAATTTCTATTCCCTCTGCATAAAAACCAGTAATCCAAAACTGGAAACTGTATTTTTCAATGTATTGTGAAACTTCAGAACAGTCAGATGAGGACAGAGAGGGCATTTAAGCTTCATACATATGGTTATATTTGCTGTTAGTACTTTGCATAGCATGCTTTGATTTTGCTGTGTAATTCTTGCCAAGACTTTGAGACATAATGCAAACTGAATGGGGCAATACAATGGGGAAGGAATTCAGTGTTGAGTTATCTGAGGGGAATGTAGTGGAAAACAGAAACAAAAAACAATGCACATAGATACTGCTCCTAGGTCTAATCTGGTGCAATGATAGTTGTGTTTCTCCTTTTTCTTATTTTTCAATTTTTAAAGAGAATCTTGGATCAACAAGAACTCTTGGAAGGTCCACAGGGATCAGAAAATGCACGCTTTGGATCAGCAATTGCAGCACTTGCAGACATTGATTTGGATGGTTCTAATGATGTTGTAATAGGTGCACCACTGGAAAACCAAAACTCGGGAGCAATTTACATTTATAATGGATTTCAAAAGACTATACGTACCAAATATTCTCAGGTAAATAACTGTGTTGCATAATGCTGTACTCTGTGCCTTTAAATCTGCTAGAAGGTTTTCTGTGCTTTAATTGGCTATTGTTTCAGCCTCTTAAAGGAATACTGTTATTCTCATGGTTTATTTCACATTTTGTGCCTCTCCTTCTTTCAGCTGTCATGTTGATATATTCAGGCTGATGTTGTGGTGGTTATAAATGAACCATATAGAGGAAAAGGATGTGCAAGATGCTCATTCTGAGCTATTTTGATGCCTGAGTGTGAAGTCAACTACTATCCTAGAACTGACACCATTATTTTCAGGTTTTTAGTGCTGATGTACAGCAATGAATATTAGATGAATCCCAGCTCTGCAAATTACAAATACATAGTATTAAAGGGGAAGTCTTTCACTGGTCTTCAATATATACTATAATGGTAATCTTATTGTCACTTTCTATGCAGATTTTCTGGTTGTAACTAGTATTTGTTAGAACTCCTATTAAGCTTCATATTCTTTGAGTTGCTCAATGTGAGATGGAAAAAGTTTCCAGCTGTATCTGGCATACAACAGTCAGTTAGTTGATTTGCTCCCAAGACAGAAAAATCTAGTCCTTTGTTTGCTCCAATAGAGGAGAAAGAAGTGCTACAAAAGCATCTGAGAAAACACGCACAAATGCATTTTGTTTAAACAATACATTGCATATGCAGGGAGTATCTGTGAAAATCTATTAATCAGGCTACTATCTATGGACTTAAGCATGCTTTGGCAAACTCACTAACCAAAGTCTCTTTCCCAGAAAATCTTAGGATCGGATTCTGCTTTTGGACAAAAGCTCCAATTCTTTGGAAGATCAGTAGATGGCCATAGAGACTTAGATGACGATGGCATTACTGACGTATCAGTTGGTGCTGATGGAAATGTGGTTGTGCTATGGTTAGTATACTCTTTCTTAGAAAGGAAGCAGTTAGTACTTCAGATGCAGCAGTTGTACATGCAGTTAATTAAACAGAAAAAATAAGCAAATTAAAAAGCTCTTTTGTTATATATGTTCAGTGCTAGCACACTTACTGCCTCATCACTGCTATCATAACTAGCTTAAAAAAAGTATTAGACTAAATCTCTTTTAGGCATTTATCATTAAACCACTGAAAGCCAAGGCAGCACACAGGGCAGAGCCAGGGCCTGAGGGAGGAAGCCAGGTGGCAGAGCCTCCCTCCCTGATGGGAGGGACCTGACCAGGAATGAGAGGGCCAGGAGACATCTTCCTGCTCCTGCTGTGCAGGCACATCGTCCAGAGGGAAGGGACAGCAGCAGGAAATGGGGCTTGATGGAGGGTGTTTGTAACAGTAGGCTGTGTACCTCAGTAGCCACAGTATAATTTTGATAGCTGAGCCTGAAACCATGTCTCACACAACCAGCGTGACCTTTACTGGCTGATAGGCTGGTATGGGAGGAGCATTGTCCTGCACAGTAAGGACAGACAGCAGTAATAGAGAGTTGACAACTAGTGCTGGCAAGAAACACATTTTTAATGGCGCATTGCCTTTGCCACAGAAGTCAGAGTACTTTCACAAAATATAAAAAGGTTTCACAGAACCCAAATCATCTGCCTGCCTAAGTAGGCTGTGATTTCCAATCCTTGCTTGAAAAGCTAAATTCAAGTGCTGTTTCCTTTCCTATCTGTTGCCTGTCTTCATGCCTGAGGCTCCCCATTGTAAGAAAAATATCAGTGAATTGCTACTTCTTTCGTAATGAAACAAGATAATTAAAAATGAATGGTCAGTTTGGACCTTTGACTGCTGCTGCTGCTGCTGGGAATTTCATTAAAGAAAATTATGCTCCTTGAAGTACCAGCATTTATTTAGATTTGATTAATGAACATGCTCATTCTTCTTTCACTCTGACATTTGGGCTGATTAATGCATTTCATTTTGATTAAAGTGTTTGTTTTTACATGTGGAGTTCCTTTGAAACTTTTCTTCAAAATCTTGATTAATTACATCAAAGTTGTTTCTCAGAAAAATTAGATTATTAAATGAAATGAAGAATTACCCATTCTCACCTTCCCAGAAGAGCTCTAAAGGAGCAGAAGGTTACTTATTTGGAAAATAGGCCAAGAGCTTCATTCTCTGATACCCTGAGAGATTGATTAGAGCCTAGGATGAAACCATCAATCAGCTCTTAATTTGACATGAAAATACATATTATTACTGTAAGCAATGATATCAACAAATTCTTGTATACCTAAGGAAAAATAATTTTACTTGTGCCATTAAAAGAAGTTTACATTGGGAACCAAAACAATCATTACTAACTTTTACAGATAGTGTTAGACAACAGAGCTTCTATGTTACCTAGTGTTCTTCAAAACCCCATGTAATTTTTAAAATATATTTTTCAGGTCAAGGGGCATTGCAAATGTGTCCATAACTGCTTCATTTAAACCCGAGAAAATCAGTCTGCTGAACAAGAATACAGATATAACTGTCAAAATATGTTTTCAGGCTTCATTTAGACCTGCTAAGAAAAATAATCAAGTGGGTAAGAGTATTTCGATGATTTGTCTTATATTAATTTCTTCAAAGGTCCATTATTTAAATGAGTAATGGAGAATCTAAATATGTATTAGATTGAATGTCAAGAATCACAAAATCAATGTAAAACTTAAGTGCTTGAGAAAGTATTTTTAAGACCTAATTCATCACTGGCTCCATACTCTGAAAAGTGGGGATTTAACAGTGTAGAGGACAGCTGTGTCCTTGTTGTTCAACAAGCCCCAGAAATGTAAATCATGAGAAGCTAGGTTCGTCCAAAACAAAACGTTCGTTCGTTTTGTTTTCACCAGCAGACTGCATACCTTTCCTCTTCAGAAAAAGAAAATTAAATATTTTCCAGAGGGTCTGAGCAGTTTTCAGTGGGAGGAAGCCCTTCTTTTCAGAGCACAGTGAATATTTCTGTGACCAGCAGTGGGCTCCCATGAAGTTTTTAAGTCCAGTCTCACAGACAACACCAGCTGGACTGCTTCAGTACTACGTAAAGTGCCTTTAGGAACTCATGGTTTTAAGCTATAAAGTAACAATGAACTTTCACAACATAATAGTCATAAAACAAAGAGGAGGTGGCAGAAATTATTATGTGATTGAAGAGAAGATGCAGATTGTTTAAAGTCACCTCTGAGTTCAGTGATGTTGTTGCAAGGCCCCTTTATGTAAAGTAACCCTGGCCCTGCTGACTGCTTCTTTCCTAAGCTGCAGGCTCAGACATCTGCAGTGGAGGCTGGATTGATTGCCATTTAATGTGCCCCTTGCAGATCAGGACCTAAACCTGCTTTGGAAAACACAAGAGAAAGTATTTTCATTTTGAAACTGCTCTGTGTTTAGCTATGAAAAACATAGAATTCTTAGTGTGGTTTGGAAAGCCTGGTCCCTATAAAATTGAGCATAGTAATGAGATCATGGGCAACCATGCTCAGTCAAAAATGTACCGTTATTCTTCTTGCAGCTATAAAGTACAATGCAACATTGGATGCAGATCTCCAGTCCTCTAGGGTGACTTCTAGAGGATTTTTCAAAGAAAATAATGAAAGGTACATGCAGAGGGATCTTGTGGTGCATCATGAAGAGAATTGTGTTCATGATGTCTTCAGTGTACAAGTAAGTACAATTGCAAGTACTCTTGCATAACAAAAGATCAGAGGAAGGCATGGATTAATTTTTTGTCTGTAATGTGAATTTCATGCATGGTGTACTGAATTATTTATGTTTCCCAAACCCCCCCAGCTGAAAAATACATAATAAGATTATGATTTCATAGAAACAAATAACTGTCACATTCAGTACAGATTTTTAGGATAGAAAAGAGGGTCTTAATTGTGCTATTCAGCTTTGGTGTAATATAGGGCCCATGGTCTATAGTTTAAATAGATTTTAATTTCCCTCTGATTAGACTCTTTTGTAAGAACTAAAACATTCATGCAAATCTTTTCTTCAAACTTAACATTCAGGCAGACTTTGCATGCATCTTAACGCCTGGTACACACCAAGGAATTAAATTAAAATAAGCAGGTCTCCATTTTATCCAGAACCAAAGACTGAACAGAGCCCTGAGACTTGCCTTAAGCTCTGTTGCATGATGCTAGAACAGGTAGATGACTTCTGTCCCTGCTCTGGTTTGCAGTGACCTGTTGATCACATTTAGTGCCATATGGAGCAGTGAGCCACAGGGCTAGAAGATGATTTATCCAGGACTGAAAAAAGAGGAAACATGGCATTTTCTATGTTTTAGTGTCACTCAGGCTCAGATGCTCTTTGTGATGGTAAGGCAGAGTGGAATAGAAATTTGACTTCTGCAGCTAGATGAGAATGAAAGCTATCTGGTGACCCGTTTGAGGACCAGCTCCTACGGCTGCAGACAATCTGCATGTTCCTTAGTCCTAGTAGTTACTGTGATGTGCACAGTCTCCAGGAATTGTAAAAAAAATCAGTTTTATCATGGAAATCACACTGAAAACTCTTAATCTAGAGGAGCCCACACTGGTCAATCTCACAAAATTATTTTCTTTAAGAAATGAAGCTTTGAACTGTTGCTTCTCCTTGTTTAGAGCAAGTATTATCTTACTGCTCATTCTCAATTCACAATAGAAATTACCAATTTTACCCTGTTTTCTGTGCTGGCAGCCATAATCTGAACCACGTGTGTTTTACAGGAGCCTTCAGATGCTGTGAATTCACTTAGTTTGCGCATTGACATTGGCCTTGCAAATCCTGGCTCCAGCCCTGTCCTGGACATATCTTCCCCAGCATCTGTGGCCTATAGCGTAAGTATGCAGATTTACTATGCCGAAATGCATGGCCATCCACATCCATAATGTGTGGCCCCCATAAACACCAAAGAGGTACCTGCAAGTGAAACTGGTGCTCTGTGCAAGTCACATGGAGGGCTGTCCCCTGGTTCCTTTCATACCTTTGCCTGTATTACATGAGCTTGCTCACACACACACATCAGCCACCGTAGCACATAACAAGCATGTCAGTTCAGCCATGTCACCGTTGATGTGAACTTCTAGTTGATGGCAAAGATGAGTTATTTCAGTTTATTCTACAGTAAAAAGGTACTGAAGAGAGTAAAAAGGATAGAAGAGAGATGAAACTAATTTGACTACACCACCTTTGTTGCCATTGAAGAGTAACCTGTCTGTACTGTTCTTGGATCAGTTGACACATTATTCAGTTCACTCATTCACTTGTCAAGATTTTTAATGTCCTTCAGAGGGATTTTCTTATCTGCAAACCAAGAATGTGCTTCAGCTTGAAGGTGTTTGCACTCTAGTGTCTTCAGATCATGTTAAAAGTTGAGCCCTGTCATTCAGGAAATGTTTTTGTTTTTCCTAGATTCCTTTTATTAAAGACTGTGGTGAAGATGAACTTTGTATCTCTGATCTTGTTCTGAATGTTCAGCAGAAGGCAGATGACAGGTAAGACCTGAATCAGTGGAACTGTTAAGGTCCAGCGTTTCAACAGTTTGTTTTCCTGTAGGCTTTGGATTAATTTCTAGAGGAGAATGCCTTTCCAGTTCAACATCTACTTAGAAACAGCACGGATAAAAAAAGCAATGGCATTTTAATCTAAATTTAATTGAGGAAAAAGAGGTAGGATAGGGACACAAACACAGAAGTAGGACTCTTGTCAGCTTAGACCAACCCAAGTTTTGGTACCTTAGAGATGAGGACATAGTGAGTATTTGGACAAATTGTGTCTGACTGGCTGGTGTTGGGAAAGGGAGCACAATAGGAGAGCAGCAGCAGCTGCAGCAGTTGTCTTCATCCCCCCTACAGGGAGCAGCGAGGATCCTGCTGTAGCTGTGCTGGTGGGGAGTTGTGGTCAGCTATTTGGGCAGCACATACTCTAAGTCCATGTCAGATGTATATGCATCTACATGCATCACAGAGATAAGGCTGCCCATGTGTGCTGCCCACTGTGTTCACTTTCCGACCAGGGTAGACCCCTTGTCACTTTGACAACACATAATCAAAGTCCTGCACTTTCAGAATAGAAGAATTCTGTCTGGTTTCAGGAAACACCATCACAGAATTTCTTATGCCAAGGAGTTTAGAAAGCAGAGTGTTTAAGTGTGCACAATGTAGGAAATGTCTTGCTGTGCTTGTTATTTGTTGTTGGCTTCAGGCAACACATTTTCCTGATCCACAGCTGTTCTAGTACCTCTATTTACAACAATGGACTTTATTTTCCAACAGCAAGCAACAGTTTATTGTCAGCAGCAAAAACAGAAGACTAACATTCAACGTGAAATTGAGAAATAAAAAGGAAAATGCATATAACACCAGAATCCAGGCTACATTTTCAGACAACCTGTTTTTTGCTTCGTCTTCTTTACCGGTGCGTGATACCCAACTTCAGTGTTTCTGTTATTGCCCCTGATTTTGAGGTTCTCAGAGAAATTTTCTTTTTTCCTTTCTAGCACTGCCTCTTCCAGAAAAGAATGTGTGTACAAAACTCTCTCACAATTTGTTTTCTTGGATACCAGAATTATTCTCCCAGCAGATCAGTTTATTTAGGTCAATGAGAGATATTTCCAACTCAGCATAAAAGCTGGCAACTTTTCGAGTTTGACCTCACCTCAGACATTTTTTCCTCACTTTAGGCCTTGGCAGCCATATCTTCTTCTTAATTCACAGCAGCATGCCTGAAGCAGTTGCTGTGCCACAGGGAATTTGCATTTGATAAATCAGACATGCAGCATTGATGATGAATCCTTAAAGCGCAGACTCTGGATCTAGAAATACTGTTACTGCCAAGGCCGTGTGATCCAGATAGACAGTTAATCAAGTTGACACAATGGCTATACCAAAAGCTCTTCTTCCAACAAATTTTATATTAGAGAAAGCAAAAGAGAGGAATTGTGCATGCTATTTTGGGGAATGCAGTATACCTATAATTTAAATTGTTGTTCCCAATTCACAAAGGATGAAATGCAGATTTCAGTGCTTGGCTTATAATGGTCAGGCTCCTGCTGGAGAGGTGCGTGATAATCCTGGGGGTGAAATCCAGAGCAATCCCTGTACTGAAGGGAGAAGAGGGATAGCATTCATTCCTGCCCAAGAGCAGCATTATTCTGAACAATGAATTGGCAAAAGTACTGCACACAGCGCTGGGGGTGCCCCTCTACCTCCCCATCCTGTTGTGCAGCAAGATTGTTCATTTCACTCCTGCCAAAAGACCACACTGGAGCTAGAATTTTCTTTTGCTTTAAAAGCCCTTTTGCTTAGAAGCACTTCAGCCTGCAAGTGAAGTTTGGACCAAAAATGTGCCTGCTTCAAGGCAGGATGAAAAACATAAACTGAGTATGTATGGGTTTTTTTGGAGGTTTTGTTTTGAGGGTTTGTTTTTTTTTTGTAGCATAATTCATGAATGGTAAATGTCTAGTAGGAATGTTTTTTTACAAAAGACAGTACTTCTTAATAAATTCTTCTCCAAGGGTTGATAACTGGCTCTGGTCTGTGAATTTGTCTTTGAATCAAGGATGATGACAAGCCAATATTCTGGAAAGTAGTAAACAAACTATTATGTAGGCAGATTTTCCTACAGAAAGTTTTATTTCTTCCAGCTCTAAGACTGTGTAAATGTGTCTGCAAAAGTTCTGTAAAAATTCTGTAAAAAAAGGACTTCTAGAAGTTAGTGGTAGAGCTGACCTGTAACTCTCTGGCCTGTATTCCTTCCAAGCTCAGCACAAAGTTCTAGTAGGATGATTGCAGCCCCCAAGAAATCAAGTGGGAATGGTCCTTGTCCCACCTTCCTTGTCACTTCCTCTTGCCCTGCCTATACCCCACCTATCTGCTGCATCTCTAGGATTTACTGCTATAACACCTATCTTCATTCCTCCTTATCATAATACATATGCTGTTGAAGGTACACACCTCTCTGCCTTATCAAAACCTAACATAAGATGGTGTTTCTGTCTGTTTTCTCTGCAGAGTGATGGGACTGAAGTCTCGTGTCAAACAGGAACAGCACAAAGTACAGTCATTTGCCAAATAAGCTATCCTGTTTTCAGAACAGGACAACAGGTACAGCTAGCATGTTTAAGTAACCTTGAATGATACCTAAAACCCTTTCTGCTGGTTTTTTCCTAACTCTGCATTTATTGCTGATAAAGGTTTCTTAAATTTTACAACAAAGGCATTAAAATAAGCAAACTAGGGCTTAAAATATGTGATTCCCTGTCAGATTAAAGGACAGAGGGCTCTGAAAGCTCACAACCCACAGCTTCCAAATGCTGCTGCAGTTATGTAACTTTTGAAGAGTGAAAGCTGGAGGCAGAGAAGCGTAGAGCATCGTGTGCAGGCTCCTAAGAACTGAGCACAGTTCCCATCAAATCCCTCCTGCAGTGTGAACCTGGGGTAACTCCCTCACCAGCTCTGTGAATCTCATCTCTCCCAGAAAGCAGTATTGTTTTGGGAGGAGATTGGAGGCCCACACAGCCCTAAGATGAATTGTATATCTTTCTTTTTCATATACACCATAAACATCAGGATATCCACAGTTTCATGAAATCTCTTATTTCTCAAGGGCAGAGCAGAAACAGGGTTCTAGCCTCTAACATAATCAGCTACAGCAATAAGAAACTTGCTTGAAAGAACAGAAACATGATGTCCTCTGGCAGGACATGTAGAATAATAATAATAAAAAAATCATATACAGAAATTGAAGCTTGTTCTGAATGTAAATGGAATTGCTCAAAGTGGACCTGCTGGAACAAATGAAAGAAAAGAGTGAACACAAAGCTTGTGTCAATGTTAGAGTTTAAAATGAAGGAATTGTGAACACCTTTTTTTGCAGCTTACAGCTAGTTGTACACATTTTTAAAATACAAATAACTCATGTTTATGTAATTATACCAGCTTGTAGGGGAATGTAAGAACAAATAAATTCTGAGTATTAAGAAATTAACTGAAATATTACACAGAAATCTGTAGAGAATTCAGGTAGAGAGGGCAGTTCTAGATTGTTGCACATATGTGTAATGTCTTTCAGGATGTTGTACCAACTTGTTTACTATGTGTTCCTTGTCTCTTCCATAGGTATCCTTTGATATTAGCTTTGATTTTAACCTTAAAAATCTTCAGAATGTGGCAGTTCTAAGTTTTCATGCATGGAGGTAAAGTACATAATGATATGAAAGCAAGTTAGGTATTAAAAGCTTGTGTACATTATTACACCTGACTGAAATGTGTTTTGATGAACAGTGAAAGTAAGGAACAGCAAGACTCGGATAACCAGGTCGCCTTATCAATTCCTTTGCGATATGATGCAGAGATTCACTTCACAAGGTATGCTGAGTTATGTCAACATACACGGTCATTTTCCCAAGCCACTTGAAGTAATGGTCTTGAAAGGCCACTAAAATATAATGAAGTTTTGCTTTTGTTTTGGAAGTCATAAGAAATTCCCTCTTCACCAGTAGTAGCAGATTTGTCCATTCTTCCAAACTTATATGTAAAAAATTAGGAAAGTTGTGGACCCATGTTTACCTCTAAACACTTGTTGCAAATGCTCCTGTGAACAGACTTGATATAAAGGCCAAACAGTGCATGTAGTTTTGATAACATAAATGGTATATACTGTATAATAACATTGGGCTTCTTGGCTCAAATGTAATGACATGGGATCACATCTGGAGTTACAATGATCAAAACTAAACAAAAGAATATCAAAAGGAAAAATATGCCCCCCCTCAGTAAAGGAGGGAAAGAAAAAAAAGAAAAAAATTAGCTGCTGAACCTGGAGCAAGAATATAAACTTTTTTGCAGTTTGAGATAATGATTTGAACCAAAACCTGAGGTACACCTGGCAGATTCTCCCTTGCTGCAGCTGCACTAGCACTGGAAGCAGACAGCCTGCTTTCCCATGCACCCATCCAGATTCTGGCTCAAACCTACCCCTCCTGCCTGGTGCCAGCCCTTCCTTCTCCATGTAGAAGGCAAGTCAGGGCTGTTGCAAGAGAGATCCCTTACCCTGGGAAGGTAAGGAGAGGCAGCTGAGCTGAGCAGGAGGAGAGAGACCAAGAAAAAAAGCCTTTTAAGACCTTTTATCTTCATATAGTGCTCTTAAAAATCCTTATCTTGAGCTCTGGAAACACTTGGTGATTTGGGATGCACTCAAACAGTAATTAGTCTGTTACTGTTCCAAAAAATAATTATTTCAGTTACAGTTTAACTTAGATTGCAACTGAAACAAAAATAGATGGGTGTCACTCTTGGATCAAGGTAGGATGTTTGCATTTTCATCAAAGAATAGATTTATTTATCCCTCCCAAATACTGAATTTCTAGGATCAACATGTAATTACACTTAATGAGTTTTGTCACCAATTCTTGGTGAAAAAATGCTGTTGCATCCCAAAGTGTTCAAAAATTAGTAAATATAAATGGATATAAAAAACCCAGTAGATATTCAGAGAATAACATACATTTTAAAAAGAGGGAGCTGCTTCAAAATGCCCAGCAACAATGGATCCAGGAAATTAATATTCAGAAATCACCATAGCTACAAAAACTGTTGGCTGCTGTGCAGGATGAGCTGGAATAAGGACCACAGCACAGAAGAGTATTGTTATGACCTTCTTTGCAGAAGCAGTTTCAGAATACTTGAGGCCTTGCATCATGAATTGGTGCACCAGTCCTGGAGTCATGCAGAATTTCTGAGATTATTTTAAGTGCAGAAAAGCATTTTAAGTCAGTGGTGCGAGTTCTTTCAGCTTCTTGAGAAAGTTGCATGAGACCTCACCAGCAGCAGCAGAGACTGAAGGAGCATCTCTGCAGAGGGCTAGCTTTTTAGGAAATTCAGATGGTGCAAACTTGAATCAGCGGGTGTAATTAGCTGAGAAATATGAACTGAAATGAAATGCTTCGGAAGAAGTGAGGAATGGAGTCTATAAAAGTCATTCAAGGGAAAACAAGGGTTTGAATTCAGCTGTATCTCCTGAATACGAAAAAAATGCAATTTCATATGCACATCAAGGAATTAAGGAATACCTACTGCCAGAAAATGGCTAGTTTATTATTACAGATAATACATTTAAAAGAATTAAATGAAATGCATATTAAGCCATGGGATAACTTGGCTTAGGAAGTATTCACCTGGAATTAGTTCTTTCCTGAGGCAGATAATGCAGCCAAGAAGTAATCCCTTAAAATACAAGAGTTGAAAAAAAAGTATTGTTTTGCTGAAGTGAAGTCTTTCTAGGGATAATTTCCTGAGTTTCTAGGAGAAGATGTAGCAATATGTCTTTCCAGAGACTTCTGAAAGGACAAGGAATCTTGGAAGGACTAAAATCTTCAGCAGTAAGAAAGTGGAAAATACGTCATGTGTGTTTTCCTTGGGGTCCTTGTGAGAAAGTCCTTCAAGGAAAGGGCCCATTGGAGAAAGTACAGAGGTTCAAAAAGGAACCACAGTGCAGTCTGGAGGATCACCACTGATCAGGAAGCACATCTGTGAGACTGCACACACATTAAATTGTACTCATAGATGTTACCCAGATTAAACAGGGAGAGTAGTAAAGATGATAGATTCCTTGTGGAACAGGAAGAGCTGATGCAGGAGTTGCAATAGCCTCTATTTCTTGTTTACTCCCTCACCAACTTGCTTTTTGAGTGCTCAAATTAGCCTTGTAATTAAAGCTAATGATAAAGAACAGACACAGTTGTGGCATGGTTTAGCAGAGGAGCTGCTCATAGGTGGCAAGTAGTGGGTGTGATGCACTGCACAGGGATGTTTTCGTTGCCTTTGAGCATGGTTCTGACTAACTGAGCTCCTCGAGCACCCACAGGTCCTTGACACATGCCCTTCCATCACACACCTGCCATTCCATGCTGCAGTGGGCTGAAACCACTCTTGTGTTACTTTGGGAATTCTGGATTTTAAACCCTATAATTACTAAACAACGTGACCCAAAGAGGACTATGAGGGCTATGTGATACGTACCATCCACATAAACAGTGTGATGCCTGTGTTTCCACACCCAGCCAGTTACAGATGTACCAAGAGAACAGCCAGGAAGGCCCTTCCTGAGTAAAAAGGTGACTGCAAGGGTGCATGTTGCAGTTTGTGTGCTGAGAAGGAGTATGCAGTATGGCCCTGAAACAATGCAGGGTCTAGAAGCCTGAGAGAGCCTGTATCCTGTACAATTCTCTTGTCTTAATTTCATATGTTTGTTCCAGCTCTGGGCTTCAGCACACCATTTTCTTAACCAACTATGTAAAATTCAAACAACAATCTAAGTGACTGACTTCTCTCTCTGTACTTCTGACCTTTTTCACAAAGACATATCCAGTAACATAAGTTTTCAAAGCAGCTGCCAAATTGAAATGTATTGTTTTATGGTTGTTAACCAGGCTTGCCAATATCAACTTCTATGAAGTATACTCTGGTCATAACATTCCTTCCACTGTGAATAATTTTGAAGATATTGGCCCCACGTTCAACTTCTCAGTTAAGGTTAGTAAGTCTGTTTTGTTCTGGTTCAAGAAGTTGCCTTAGCTCCCTCTGTAGCCTGCTCCCAAAATCTTGTTTAACAAACACTCCTGCTTTCATTGTCTGATTTTGAAGCTTTTGAATAGGTCAAGTAAGAAAAAAAATTTGCAAATAGCATAAGTTCTTGGAGTCTTCATAAGATTAAGGATGACATTTGCACTAGTAGAAGGGGGAGGAATTGGTATTGCACTGTGTACATATTTAGAAGATGGTTAATGCTTAACTTTAGGCCAACTTAGACTACTTTTTTTACAGAGTCTCCTGACAACTTGATAAAAAAAACAAGTGTTCGCAGGCTTGGACTTTGAAACTTGAAGTTTGGCAAGGGTTAAGGGCTCAAACCTGATGCAAGAACTAGCCAAATCACAGTGCTTATTACATAACACAGAAAAAAAAAACTTAGATCCAAATATGCAACGTGGAAGAAAGTTGAATTATGTTCCATTTCCATTCCTGTAACTGCTACTCCAAAGAACTAACCAGGCCTATTGGCCATGGCAGAATTTTTGCTTTTCAAAACATATTTCATGCAGTTAATATGAGCTTTGTTAAGAAAACAGACTGGAACCTGGAGCTGTACAATATACTTTCTACTTTGCTGTTCACAAAATTACTATCCCAGTGTCTTAGTAAAAAAAATTTATGTAAAAGGAGTCCAGTTCTTCCATACTCATCCATTATTTCTAATTTTCTTGCTGTATCAAATAATTTATGCATAGCTACCTGAATTAACTCTTGAGATTTTGCTTTGCAGGTAACAACAGGAAGTATTCCAGTAAAGATGGCAACTGTAACAATCAATCTTCCCGATCTGACCAGCAAAGGCAACCCGCTGATGTACCTAACTGCAGTCACCACAGATGAGGTATAGAACTGAATTGTGTTTGGGGGTTCATCAGTACTATCAACATCAATTATCTCCCCAATATTATGGCTTCATTTAAGAGAATCCATGCTCTTTCTCTTGTCCCTTCCTCATAAAGGGGGAACCACAATGCCAGCAGTACACTAGGCTATTACCTGGCAGATGTGGAATGTCTGGATCTCTTCAATAACATTCTTCTCCAAGTTCCTGGTAAAGTTATTGTAAAAATGAAACTTTTAGATAAGGAAAAACCCTTCAGATCAATCTAGGGACAAAAAAAAAAAGTGTCATAACAATTATTTACTTCTGACCAAAACCACGTACTCTTAGTTTCCTAAAGAATTCAGTATTCACACCTCAGCCTTTAACAGCTACCATCTAAGCTCAGAAATATATATTATTACGATAAGTATAAACTCCTGATTAGCATGTCATCCATCTCATTCCTTCCATCTTTCCTAGGCCAGAGGTGTCACTTGTGATGCTCAGATAAATCCACTGCAAATAGGGAAAAGACCTTATTCTCCATCTTTCATGAAGGAGAACTTCAGAGCTTCCAAAGAACTGGTGAGTAAAACCAGGGCTGCAGTAAGCAGGACCTTTTGTGCTGAGGGAAGCAGATCTGACCTTCTGAGCCCATTGCTTGTGAGAAAAGCTGTGATGGCATGGCCTTCCTCATTTACAGAGCAGGAGCTCAGCCTATGGATGTTCTCACAGATACTGCCTCTGCTTTAGCACAGCCTGCAAGCACTTAATTTGTATGCACAGAATGGCAAAGGCAAGGGCAAAAATTCTGGATGTTGCAAGAATATTTCTTAAAGTGTATTTTTAATGCATGCTGTTGCCTCTTCTTGCTGTTTCCCCTGGAAGAACTGTAAGAACATGAAGTGCAGTACCATCACATGCAAACTGGAAGACATTGCACTGAAGGGAGAGTACTTTGTGAATGTGTCCACCCAAATCTGGAACGGAACCTTTGCTGCTGTGAGTATCAGCTGCATCTTTATAGAGGATACAATACTGAAGTATTTTAAAACTCCTGATATTTTTCAAAGTCCAATACAGAGACCATACTGAGAGAGTACAGAGGACTCTCAGAGTACTTACTGAGTACAGAGACCTCAGTCTAGAAAGACCTTCCTTTGCTTTATATTGGTTTGTATTTTTCCAGATTGAAAACTTGAACCTGAAAGTATGAGGCTGCATAACGGAGCTGATAAAACTTCAGTTCAGGATAGAATCTAAGAAAATGCTATGATAATGCAACCTTCACAGCTAAAAAAAATGTTTCCTACATCTGTTAGATTCATTCTTGGGGAACTACAGTTTCCACAAAACTCATTGTAGGACAGCAGAGCACAGTATCATCATAGCCTGTAAAATAATCATGCTTTTTAGCTTTTGAATATCACAGCCTACATGATGATTATTTTAGATCACATCAAAATACCAAAACCCTGTTAGTGCTGCCAGTTTTATTTGATAGAGAAAGTGTGGAAAACATCTTTAATTGATTTTTTGTGTTTATTAGAGTAGGTGTCAAAGAAACAGTCCTTGCTTAGAGACCTACAGGATGCTTTAAAAAAAACATCAATATCTCAGTCTATTTTGAATCACCATGTGTCCTCCAGGATATAACTCATCATAAGTTACCAGACTTTTGAAGTTAGACCATGTTTGCTTCTTAGCTAGGCAACCAACCAAACGATCTTGGAGTCCTGGGTTTGCCTAATGCATCAGGAACATGACGCAGTCTCCTTACTGTGTCTGGTGATTCTTGTGGCAGGTATTGACATTTAACAGCAGGGCTGTTGTCAGCTCCAGCATTCAACTCTTAAAAGGAAAAGGTCAGGTTGATATTGTTAAATGTGTTATGGAAGTGTGCGACGAAAAGCATCTGCCTTTAGCATTTGTATTTTTCTTATCAGCTGGTTTAAGACCATTTGTTAGTGCTGTTAGGTACACCGAAGATGGAGACCTGAACAAAAGACTACTAACCTCACAAAAAAGTGAGTGGGAATGGTTTGTTTACCATCACTGGCTGATGGGAAAGAAAGTGCATATGTCACAGTTCTCCTCGCATCAGCCATTTTGTAATTTTCTATTTGGTTGTCAAAATTCAGCACAAATAATCTTGCAAGCACTCACTCAATCATGCACACCTTCAGCCTCTTTAGTGGCAATCAGCCATCATCCAAGAAGGGCATTACAGGCTTGCCAGTACCTGCTAAGCAAAGAAAAGATGTGTTTACGAATTGACGTGCTTTGAATACTGCTCAGGTGTGTTTCTAAACTTTTAGGTATGCAGGATACACCACTTGGGCAGATGGCCACAGTGCAGGGATGCAATAACTCACACTGCAGAGCCAGTCAGTTTGGTGTGTTGGCCACTGCAGACCCACAGCTGCCCGTGGTACCTGGCCCTGCCACAGACAAATGGCTGAGGAGGCAAAATGGCAGAGCAGGCATTGCCTTTGGGTCACATGGAGAGAGTGGTCCTGTGCTCCCATGAACCTGAGGCCATTCCTTGTGGTGCTGTGGAAGGGCAGCAGTGAACTGTCAGCCATGCACCTCTCCTCCCAGTACATCCACAGAGGGAAGTGGGATCTGGCACAAGGTCCCTTTTCAAATAGGAATTGGCTTAAGATTTTTGTCATCTTCTCTGTTTAAGCTGAGAGAGCTATGTCAGAATTTGAGACATGGAGGGGAACACATAGTGAAAGGAAAAAATAAATGGGGAAAAACAGAAGCATTGGATAGAAGTGAGGGCGGGGGGAAGTAAAAGAACATCCAGTTTCCATTTCTTTCAAAGGCCAGAGATATATTCCCATCTGTCTTTTGTTGCTGTGTCTCATTTTCTAACTGCTATTTCCTCCCATCTCTTCCCTGCTAGCAGCAGTGACAGCTTTAAAATAACTATAAAAAGGGTTACGTAAATATTTCCTTCTGTTTTGCTTGAACTGTACATTAAAGAAAAAGAAAAAACAGTTCCTCAATGTCATTGCTAAGTGGATTACTGATACATTATTACTTTGATTGACATTATGGCTGGGGAAAATATTAAAATAATTTTAATTTTCTTAATACTATTATTTTCTTTTCTGGCTGTGAAGTCTTCATTTCAAGGCAATAGAATTATTTTAGAATATCTACATTTTAATTGAGTTGCCCTATAACAGAGCTTTACAGTTGTTTTAATCTTCTCTTTCAGTTAATTTTCCAGACATTACAACTCTCTGCAGAAGCAAAAATTGATACAAATAACCCTGAGTTATTTATCATTGGAGAGAATACCCTAACTGTAAGTGATATTTAAGTGTATTTTTTCAACTTCTCTATCTTTGACTGTATTAAAGTGATAATGTTTAATTTTCAGTGTCCTTTAGGAGTACGTAGCAACTTGATTATGTTGCACTAAAGTATCATTTGACTATATACAAGTAGCTTAAGTTATTAAAATGTTTTCATTTCAGCCCACTGCTATATAAACCAGACATAGTTAAAACCTGTGGGTCTCAAATAAATGGTAGAACATTTAAAAAGTCAGCTAGAAACTTCTGAAATTCAGATAGCTTTCTGTTCATGAAAAGACCAAGATTTGGCTTTCTTGCTGCAATGGAATTTATTGTTAAAGATAAATGAGCTCTGGGAAACACATTCACCAATGTGACTTATAGTCTTACTTACTTCTGTAAGAGTATGGTTTGAGGTTTCTACACAAGTGTTTGGCAAAGGTCTCCAGAAAATAATCTCATTTATAAAGGAATGTGGAATATTTTTAGCATTTGGAAGAGCTGTCATATGGACAATGCAGACACAGCTAATCTCAAGAGAAGTCTCCATACCACTGCATTATTAGTACTGAATTCTTCTCACAAGCTTTCTATTTGCTATACACAAACATAAAAAACTCTGGAAGAATACAGTGTACTGTGGTACTGTTGTAATAAAAGAGGACACCTTGCTCTCTTTGTCTGTCTTGAAAGGAACACTCTTCCATTTGCAGTACTAATTTTAGATTAATTTTTACAGGACTTAATAGCCTGTTTTATCCATAAAATAACCCAGGTCATTAAACAGCGAAATGCTAATTAGTAAATTAGTCAAATATCTGTAGGAATGTGCGGCATAGCCCATTCACAGTCAATAGAGAATTCAACTGAACGTATACAAAAGCAGTTACAGATTGGTTTCTCTCTCTGTGTGATACGATCATCATCCAACACCCTTTTTAATCACTGGTTTCTTATAAATCACTCTATTTCTTGTGAAGAACCTCTAAATAAGCCATTTTGTAATCAGTAAAACCTCCAGTGCCTGAAGAACAAAGTATGTTTTATGTTTTCACAGAAAAGTTAGATGCCAGTATTTGGAGTGCTCTGAGTGCTTCAGTTTGGCATTTTCTCTGGTATTTTCATTGTATTATTTCTAGTAGGAGATGAAGCTCACTACTATACAATGCAAATATTCTAGGTAATTGCACAGGCTCTTGAGGTAACTCTTAAACCATGTAATAATACGTATTTTTCCACATTTGAAATATGGTACTGCCAAATCTACATTACCAGAAGTTCTGTTGGCAATTTCAAGAGAACTAGAATTATTCAAATGATAGTTGACAAATGAAAGTCAATTCCTCTCCCAGCCACTGACACATGTGCAGCTGGGACTTCTGCACCTTTGAAGCAGTAGCTGAACAGACCCTGAAAGTTATCCACAGGGTTCCTCGGAAACAAAGTGGCTTTTGCTGACTCCCAGCCTGACCTTTACTCAACAACCTGTTGCCCTGTGAGAAGTCTTGGTAAATGTGCCCGGCTGTGGAGGTCACTCTCCCTAGAGCAGACAGTTTGACACTTGGAGTCAGTACCCAGCACTTACTTCTTGTCAGGCCAACAGGGAAACCCAGTCTGCGCTTCACACTTCCTTGGGAACAGGACAGTACAGAAGCAAACAGAGCTTATTTCCCTACTTACCCTGTTAATTTACATGGATGTGGTAGGATTCATCCAATTTAATATCTGCATTAGTCATCTGTATTCTATATACCCTAGTCCCTGGAAAGAACAAGTATTTCTGAAATGCAGTTCATCTCATCCTAAATTTGATCCTGAAAATAACTAGGGTGAATTAGGCTCTTAAAAAAGCCTATCCTTCTTTGGGAGTCAAGGAACCATGTTGTAGATAAACACCAGATGAGTTGAATCCTACTCTCATGGTGTCTTATTGACCAGTTTAACTTCAGGAAAGATAATTTGTTCTTAGGCATCAATTTTCCTTTACAATGGCGCCGCTTCACTGTTATTCTAATGCAGAAAGCATTACTGGGCAAACTGCATATATGAAATTGGCTTTTTAAATTGGATGAACTGGGTTGTTATATAGCCAAATAAATGAATATTGCCTTGTGATGCTATGTGGGGAAGCTGCTTAGGTATTTTTACGTAAAAGCTTTCACATTTTTTTCCAAGTTGGAAAGGACTGCCAGCTGGAGGCCAGAATGTTAACCTGCTAGAATCATCACTGTGGTCATTCAGTTAGAAAATACACAAAGCTGTCCTGCCTTGGTGAAATGAATACACATAACCACACCTAGCACAACACTGGAGCATTCCAACAGAAATTACTTAAATCACTGAAATGTCAGTCCAGTGCAAGTTTCCCAGAAAGCTTAAGATTAAATTACTCCAGACAAATGCACTGAACAACCACCCTGAGAAAAGAAAACCAGTGTGACTTGTTTTATCATGTTTCAGGAAGGAAAAAAAACTTTCAGCTAACTGCATGTCATTCCAAGATTAAATCCAAAAATTTGACAGTTCATAAATATTACAGCAATGTCTCTCTGAGAAGCTCTGTTATATGTAATTATATATTTGGTTATACCTAATCCAGCTAGGTGGGCTATCACCTGAAAACTAACTTCCAGACACTCTATGCCCTTCTGGGAGCTCTCTGGTATTGGTTCAGGAAATGTAGGTGTGGTTCAGGAAATGTGGGTGTGCTAGGGGTATGCTCCTGTTTGACCTATACATCTTGCAGCAAATTCATGCAGTTGACCGAGAAGAACACAGATCACCATGAGATCTGTTCATTAATGGTTTCATAGAAGGTAAGAACAGCAGACAAAGGAGACTGAGGCCCAGCAGGAGGATTGGAATTTCAGCAGATGTCATGGTGTCTGGCCTCAGTGATTAGTACTGCCTCCTACAGCTGCCAAGCACAGATAACGGGCACTGACAATGCTTGGTGAAAAGTAGTGCTTCTCCAGCAGTCTGATTTTGGGGCTGTACACCAGGCTATGCCCTGCTTTCATGTAAACACGGCTGGTTTATTACACAGTGATGGTGTGTGGAGCCTCTGAAAGGCCTGCAGTTAATGGAGAGGCAGCAGGCAGGAGAGATTGGTCCTCTGCCTGTTATGCTTGGCCAAGAGTGATGAGGGCCTCTAGTCCTTAGCTGGCATTGCCGTGTGCCACAGTGCAACCAAGCACCCGTGGACACCAGTGAAAGGGCTGTAATTGCTTGGTGTATTCCTGTCATTGACCTGGAATATGTGCAGTCCAGACATTCTTGATTTTTGGTTTACAAATCCTACCTTATTTGCAGTTAACATTAGCCCCTAAGAGACAATCTCTCTGCTTTCAGATCCCAGTTACAATAATGAAGCCGGATGAGAAAGCTGAGGTACCAGTAGGTGTTGTGATTGGCAGCATATTGGCTGGACTCCTCTTGCTGTTGGTACTGGTTGCTGTTTTGTGGAAAGTAAGTTGGTACTTATATCTTAAAACCGGAAAGGGATAAATATATTTGGGCTGTTTTCTTTGGAACTTCTCTTCTCTAGTGTGAAACAAAACCACATCTGCAGTTTGGTGGTGTGAATAATACTGCACTGACACCCTTGACATATTTTAGAAGGGTTTATTAAATGAGTCCTTATAGAAACTGGCAAAATGAAGATGTTAAGTGAGCTGCCAATCATTCAAAACAGAGGCTGTGGCATTTACTTTTCTCCTTTCAACACTGTCTGCCTCCTTCCATAATATCCCATATGGGCTCTGAACATGCATGATATTTCCAGTGGACAAGGGTGGGGATTACAAACAAGGTGATAGAGGATATGTATTGGACAAAAGAACAGACAAAAGAAAGGGCAGGGGCAAAAAGTAAAATACAAAGGTTACATAGAAAAAGGGGAAAGTTTTCTGCATGCCAGGGCATTGGTGTTTGAAGTGCTCCTTGGCACACCAAGGCATCATGGAAATGTCTATATCTCAGCAGAGAGAAAAGTGGCTTATCGGCACTGCTGCTCTAGCATTTAATTGCACCAGGAAGGAGTTTAGGGCCCACCTCCTTTCATTTTAGAGGCAGGAATTGTCTACAAATCAAACTCTGTAGTGTATGCATACACACATGTGCATTTTTACCATCACAGTATGTAGTTTTGCTGAGTAATGAATTATCAATGACTGACTGCATTGTGGCGTTATTTTAATACTTCTCACAGCTTGGCTTCTTCAAGAGACAGTACGAAAAAATGACACAGGATATAGAAGATGTGGATGAAATTGCAGAACTCACAAAGGACAAAGACTGAAGATGAGTTACATGGATAAAGAGGAGATCTGAGCCACCAATAGTAGTTGTGATCAGTCAGTTCTTCAGCTGGAGTGCCTTAAAGCTTAGTAACATTTAAACATTTTTAATGAAAGTGTCTTTATAGATGAAATATTTTACAGATTCTACTCTATTGTAAGAGTAACTGCAGGACAGTTTGGTTTTTTCAAAAATGATTTATAATGCCTTTTCTTGTAAATTTTTGCCTTTCAAACAAACTTAACCCTTAGAACTGGCAGGTCCGGAGTATACAGTAACATACTGTTCCAGCAGCCCTTCTCTTGATCCACTGCAGAGTGAAACAGAAGAATTCATTTCGGATTATTGTGGAACAGCATCAGTTGGTAATTCAGTTGACAAGTACCACATGTGTTAAAGGACATTTTCTATTAAGTTGATGATGAATGTGTGGTGAATACTGCTTCCAGACTGGGAGAAGAAAAGTCATTTTTTCAATGACTAGCTCCATCCTTATTGTTTTAGAAAAATAATTTCCACCAGCAAACCTTTGCTTTAACTAATCTATAAACTGGGAACTGTGTATTAAGATGTCTGTCGGGGTGCTACAGGACAACTGGTTGGGCAAAGTCTTCCAAAAGTTCATCTATTTCTTGCACTAAGGTCACAACTAAATTACTGAAGGATATTGTTTTGGGGAAGTATTGCCAAATGGTATGTAAAACTGTCTTCTGCACACTTTCTTCCTGAGAAGAAAATGTGAATTTCATAATCACTTACAGCATGTTCTCTGCAATGCTTTTACTCATTTTCATCTTGAGAAGCACTGCCACTACTGTTATGCTGGCCTTTATACTCTCGGTCCCTCTGATATCAGTTTGGCTTTCGACATAAATAGAAAAGACAGTCAAGATCTTGCCTTTAATTCTGTACTGAAAGATTTTGCAAGAGTAAGAGCATAAAGTGAACTAAAGGGGATAGCTGACTGAGGAATTATGCACGTTACAAAAGGGGATAGTGAAGATCTAAGCTCTGTAAAATGTTTACTGCACTTCTTTAGCATCTCAGTGCCCTCCAGGAGACCAAAGTTCAGTACAACCTCCTTACCTGTCACATTTTTTTTTGGTCCTACCTGTTCATGTCTTGATGAAGTTAACTTATGTTTTATATGGTGAAGTACTGTAGTGCTCTGGAATGAGCTCTAAGCACAACACTTGGGTGACTTTGTGTTGGTTACACACCTCAAGTTTATCACATGCTGTTACGCTGCCTGGTTATAATGAAAGCTCAGTCTTATAAAGGCCCATGCTGTAAGACTGGTAACAGTCAGGAGATTTGGCCTTTTGGCTGCCTTTCTCTCTCATGCCTGGCAGTTACACTTACAATTGATTGTGAGAGAAGATGTGTGTGTTTTTCGTACCTATGCTGCCATGCAAGTGAGATTGTTTCCAACTTGAGGTGATTTATTTGAAGAGTAAAACATGCAAATGTGCCAGATTGAGGACACGAAGTCATGGTTTCTTCCCCCCAAAGCTGGACTGTAATTATGCTTAGGCACTTTTACATTATTTTCTGAGGGACTAGTCTTAAGCACATTTGAAAGTTTTACTCCGTCTTTTTTAATAGCTAATCAGTCAAAAGCCAACCATGTCTTTGGCAAATAACAGCTTCATTTGCAGCAACAGCTGGATTATGCTCAGTGTAGTTTTATATGTGTTTTGAATTTATTTTGTATCTATGAAATGTTATGTTTTGGGACATTTTGTTGTGGTTTTTGTAACATTCTGAAAAACAATTCAGATTCTTATATCAATTATCAAACAAGATTTTTGCCATCAGCTGAGTCTGTGACCAAAACAAATATTTAAAAAGTGGGGAAAAAAATAGCAATTGCATAAATCTAAAGAATAAGCTCCTGACTTGCAATTATAAACTTTGAGGGCAAATGTTCTGAGAGTAGAAAGAAAAAATTTGTCTGCCTCAATTCTTATATAAACTTGTGCAGAAAAAAAAACCCACCCTACAGCCATGTATGTGGGAAGCTCCTACATAATCAGGGTCATGCACTCCAGAGCAGAGGGGGAATTTCACAATACACCAGATGGTAGAATTTTCAGTTTCTGGTGCTGCCTACCAGGCAATTCAGGCCTTGACCCAGGTTTGTTTCTTCCGCCTTCAGTGGGAGGTACAGGTCAATATCCAATATGCAACTTCTTTGGGGATTTAACAGTTACCAGTCAGGTAGCAATGATTCAATTCACTAGCCTGCACTGGGTTATATTTTGACATGGACAATACAATTCTCCTTCCCAGCCTAGACACAATACTGCTTTTCCAAAATAAAGGGGAGACATAACAATGGGTAAGGTTTTTGTATCTTAACCACTCCAAGTTACTAGTTTATTTTTCTTTTACAATTAATACTTAAATGGATAATTCAGTTTTTGTAATGGGTAAGTCTATTGCACTTTTAAGTTGGCACAGCTGCAAATAATACTGGAAATATTATGTATATTTTGTATTGTGTGCAAGGGTTTGGTTTGTTTTTTCTTTTAAATTTACTTTTTTAAAGTAGCATGTTTTAAATACCCTGAAATTTTGAGCTTCAGCATGTACTTCTGTTTGTGCTTGCAGCAAGAAAAGTCGACAATACCTTCAGCAAACTCAAGTTATATCTGATTCTGGTCTTGAAATCTAGCTGCTGATTTCCGGAAGTACTAGATTCAAGTCCAACATCTGAGTTGGTTTCATATGAGCCTATGTATAAATTTGGAATATACAAGAGAGTTTGTAATAAAGTTGACTTCTAAAAGCTAGCATGTAAGCTCTATGGGAGCAGGGACTGTATCACTGTGGTGGCCTGTCTGAGGGCCTAACAGCATTACTGCAATAAAACCCAAGACTACTGCTGAATGCAGACTCATTTATTTTTAGCTAGCACCCAAAAGAGAAGCAATGCCACTGAAAAATCACTGCATAAAATGGGGCCAAATATGGCTTTGTCCCAGTAGCACACAGTGAGAATCTAAGAGGATGATTCTGCTAGGTAGACAATGACACTGCACCTGAAGTCTTGCAGATCACAGTCCAGAGTGTAACATAACCAGTAAGCTTTACTGTAACCCAGCTCACGTAAGTGCAAAGTATTTGGAAAGCTCTAGCTGAGCAGATGTTGTTAAAATATTACCATGGCCAGGCCTTCCTATAAACATGGGCTTATCATCACTGCTATCTAAAATTACAACCCATTCTGCCAGTCTCTGCACTTTATCTATTTACAGAATTGGTCAGCAGTAACATGTCATGACTCTGGCTCTGGCTACACCCCACCATATGTTGGAAAAGCTGAATTCAACTTTTCAGCAGGAACAGTGTGATAAAAGATGAGTGGGAGGAACTTGGCTATTAATAGAAAGATGAGAGGAAGACAGTATTTTCAGAAACTACCACCTGAAAACTACACACTTTCACAGAGCTTTTAATTTCCACTTTCAATTCCTCCCTACTTTTAACAGTGGTACATAAACATTCAGGTAGGCTACCAATTTCAACACTTCCATCATACAGTATCACATGAACCTAATCTTAAGGCACAAAGTTCTGTCTTTCAGCAAGTCTAAGTGTTTTGCAGAATTACAGGCCAGATTCCATATATACTGACTTATGTATGTGCTGGTTTTGACTGGGGCAGAGGTACATTTCTTGACAGTAGCTGGTATGGGGCTGTGTTTTGGATTTGTGCTAGAAATTGTTGATAACTCAGGGATGTTTTATCTGTCACTAAGCAATGCTCACAGGTTCAAGGCCTCTTCTGCTCTTCACCCCATCTCTCCAGCAAAGAGGCTGGGGTTGCATAGGAAAGTGGGAAAGGGACAGAGATGTGACAACTGCCCACAACTGACAACAGGCATTCGGAGTGTTTGGTGTTTGTCTTCCCAAGCCACTGTCATATGCAATGGAGCTGTGCTTTCCTGGGGTTGACTCAACCTGCCTGCCAATGGGAAGTGGTGAATACATTCCTTTATTTGCTCTGCTTGCATGACCAGTTTTTTACTTTCCCTATTAAACTGTCTTCCATCTCAACCCACGAGACTTCCCACTTTTACTCTTTCTATTCTCTCCCCTATTCCACGAGTGGCAGAGTGAGTGAATGGCTGGGTGGGGCTGAGGTGCTGACTGGGGTTAAAGCAATCCAAAACCAAACTACAAGAAAAGCTTGCAAATTAAAGACTAAAAAAATGAAGGTATGAAAATGCATCTCAAAATCTATAGGTAATTACCTCAGTTTTTTATTGCCTGTGAAAGTAGATGAAGTGTACATTTTCACAGCTTCAGAAAAGTTGAGTCCTACATTTTAAGTGAACACTTCTGTTCTCAGTTAATCAGTCAATTATTTGTATGCAATCAAAGGTTTTAGTATGCTAGCAGTTTTTAAAATGTACTTGCCTCTTAAAATAGTCAAAATGGAACTTTCATAAAAAGAACTGCTATAAAGATACATCATGATGCTAATTTTTGGTAAGTTGATATGATCAGATGTATGGTGTGCTTGTTTTTCAAAAAACTGGTGTACGGTTCTTGAAACTGGTAATTTATAGTCACCAATGTATTCTGCATTCCTTTCAATCACCTCCACAGGACACTTAATTGTACTTAATGGCACTTAATGCTCAAGACTATTTTTCACAGGATTTTAAAAGGGAAAGGGCAGCACTGTCTGCCTTAACATATAATTTGTTAATAATTAGATTTAGCAGTTCTTTCTTTTTAATGCTTCTGAAGCAACAACTGAATGTGCTACTCTATAAAACTACAACTTACTTGGAACAGCTGTGCATAAAGTGAGCAGAGAGAAAGGCCAAAAATCTAGTTCAAAGTTGAGCAATCTGAAGGCTACATTCCTGAGTGCAGCAGTGCCACTTTCACTAGCGAAGCCAAAGTGAGGGCCTGTATTTCCCAGCACAGCCAGCACCTGAGCGGGCCAGGAGCCGCTCCTCCCGCTCAGCCATCTCTCGGCTGCCATCTCCTGGGTAGGCCCCTTATGAAACAACCCCCTTCCTCCCCCGTCCCACTATTCCATGACAATCCATCAGTTGCTGTTTTCATCATATGCATCAGGCTGAGCTTCTCTTGAGAACAGAGCACAATGCTCAAAATCAGGAAAGGAAACTCTTAAAATCAATCAGTGCTGGTAAATGTATGTTTGACCAGACAAAGGGGTGGATCAGTGTATTCAAATGTTGCCAGCCAAGAATAAGGCATCTTTTCAGAAAGACAAATTATCTCTCTGAATACATGCACTTCCACAGACAGCCCTCATCTGGCAGATCTCTGCAGGAATCATATGGTGACCCTCTGGGTCTGTAGCATTTGTGTCTGGGAACATCGCCCTATGTACCAAAGCCACCAACTCAACACAGCTGATCTCATGGAGAGGTGGGATTTGCCTTCACTACAGGAAGAGAAATATCTGGACTCATTCCAGAAAGCTGGGTCTTCCTTGTAGGTAGACAGATCTGCAGCTATCATCCCACTCAATGGACCTCACCATAACACAGAGTAGCTGTCATCCAGCACTGTAGTTCTGCACGTGTGGACAGCGAGAAGCACAACTACATCTTTTCCTAACATACAGTGAGACACTGCTGGGATTCTTCCCCTGACCTGGCAATTTGGAAATGCTTCTGGGTCACTTCAGACACAGCTTAAGCATTTATCTTAGAACACAGTAATCTGCCCTCTTATGACAATACTGCCCTAGCAGAGAGGGTAGTCCTACAGAGGGAGACAGAATACTGAGCTGAGAGCATGGACTTAAATTTCAGTGAGATACATTTTACCTCTAATTAGCACACCATCCCTCCCAGAAACATTTCCATTTCGCTTTTACATGCCAGCTGAAGAACCCAAAGTTACACAAGACTGATATATCATTGTTCCAGAACAAAGCAGTACTTGCCTCATGCACAGCTAGGGACAGAAAATGACATTTCATTGTCTTTACCATGGCAGCATACACACATTGTAACACTCAACTGTGACTCAGTACAACATCTCTTCCATTCATTGTTCCTGGTCACTGTGGGGAAGTACACAATTATTCTCTCTTCTTTTCTGCACCCTATTTCCCAGCTGTATTGCTGATGGGGAAGGTGCACTTAAGGTCACCCTGGAAAAATCTTCCAGGAGACTGCAGTGCTAGAAAGGCACTAACGAGACACTACTGCAACTCAGGAATTGCCCTGATCATGGGGTCCCAAGTAGGATTTAACAATGGTAACTAAGATATACCACTGATTTTCTGTATCAGAGCACAACACTAGTATGGAACCACTGCATAAGTTTTACTTATGGAATCACTGCATAAGTTTTACTTCACTCATAAAATATCCACTGAAAAACAAGCTAAACATTTATTTTTGTGAAATTAATACACAATTAGTTGCATGGTAACAGCAAACATAAACATGGAAAAATGAACACCAAACATTAAAAAAGTTCATGTATTTCTCTCTTCTAAAGCGAAAAATAATCCTTTCACAAAGCAAGTGATTGTGGTCAGTATTCTGTACAATTCCCAGGAAAAATGACATTCAAACAGCAGAGGGCTTCTCTCCAACCTCCAAAAAAAGGAAAACTCAGTCTTGTACTTGACCAGCTCTGCCTAGATAATAGGGCCCAATGGTTTGTAGAGGTGTAAACACACAAGGAGCAGCTGCTGTCCTGCAGATGAAGGACTGACTTCCACTGAGGAAAATACATCAATAATTTAATAAGCACAGTTTAATGATGTTTCTGCCTGAAGCTGTATGTTTCCTTACAATTTACTTAAATCAGATATAGTAACTAAGTATTAAAGTTTATTAAAATCCCTGGGGGGAAATTTTTTTTTCCTCATTTTACTTTGTGTAGCTAGAAGTTGTTAGTAGATTTTTGCAGACATGATAAAATAGAACATACAGCTGAGGCTTCACTAGTGTGTGATGCAATGATTACAGAATCAAAGACTGGTTTGGGTTGGAAAGGACCTTACAGATCATCTAGTTGCAACCATCCTGATATAGGCTGGGACACCTTCCACTAGACCAGGTTGCTCAGAGTCCCATCCAGCCTGACCTTGAATATTTTCAGGGATGAAGCATCCACAGCTTATCTGGGCAACCTGTGCCAGTGCCTCACCACCCTCATAGTAAAGAATTTCTTCCTATCATCTGATCTAAACCTACCCTCATTTCAGCTTAAAGCCGTTCTCCCTTGTCCTATCGCTACATGTTGTTGTGAAAATTCCCCCTCCAAATTTATTGTAAGCCCCATTTAGATACTAAAAGGTGATGTAAGGTTTCCCTGGAGCCTTCTGCAAGCTGAAAAACCCCAGCTCTCAGCCTGTCTTCATAGGAGAGGTGTTCTAGTCCTCTGATGAACTTAGTGGTCCTCTCTGGATTCATTCCAATAAAACTTCTTGCACTGGGGGGCTCCAGAACCAGATGCAGTGCTCCAGTGGGGTCTCTTGAGGGCACAGCAGAGGAGCAGAATCAAACCCTTTGACCTGCTGGCCCTCCTGCTTTTGATGCAGCCCAGGACAGAACCAGATTTCTGGGCTGCAAGTGCACATTGCCAGCTCATACTGAGCTTTTTGTTCACAAATACCCTCAAGTGTTTCTCCCCAGTGCTAGTCTTGATCCATTCTCCCTCCACCTTGTACTTGTGATTGGGATTGCCCTGACTCAGTAGTATGACCTTGCACCTGGATTATAAATAACTATATATGATGTAGGAACATATATATGAGCAACTGAGCAAATGATTTTGCATTACCTTATTTTCCTTCACTTGTATCTGCCTTGTCTACACTGATAATGATGACTAGATAACACTGCCTCCCAGCATTAGCAGAAATGCCATATACAATGGGGCTTTGAACTCTTATCATCTAAATACTACCATGGCACAGTAGAATAAAAAATAAAATTACCTTGCTCAGACAGGTAGCCCAGTATTTCCAGTGAAACCCAGGCATATTACGTCAGTTCATTTAACTAGTTTTCAAAACAGTAACAAGAGAAAAACTGTAATAAGGTTAAATCTTAAATGTGAATATAAATGCATATATGAATTGCAGTAAGTTCAATAAACTCCCTTTTCTTTGAAAAACTATTCCATCTGATAACTTTTAATCCCCACACATATGAAATCAAATTACTGAATTTAATTACACTATAGTTGTGTATTTGTAATAATAGCTAGATTGGGCTTTTCTTCCTGCAGCACCACACAACTACACAACCAAAAAGTCACCTTCAAAATTTTGTCTAGACATCATTAAGTATTTACAGATTGGTATGTTATTGCTAAGGCAATACTTTTTGCTGGTAGAGTACTAGCTTTAACTTTGAATCAATCTCTATCCATATTTTTTTAATGCAATGGACTCGTAATCATCAGCTGCACAGTAAAAATCTCTCTGTGAGACAGAGCTACTGGAACAAAAGCACTACTAAAAAGTTAGTAACTCTGGGGTATAGTTTGTATTTTCTTCTCAGTCTGCACTAAAATAGTTCATCTACATCAAGTAGCTTTCATGTTACAAGAATGTCAAAATAGCATAAAGCTTGTAAACTAAGTCTGCAGTCATATAAAATTAAACCTTTCTTAACTTTAAGACTGAAAATAATTTAATTGTCCTGTGGTGACCTCCCATCAGACAGAGAACACAGACTACCAAGGTAAAAGCATTAGAACAGTATTTATCACAGAGTAGTCTAAACCTTGCAACAAAAAATTTTAGGGAAGATCATTTTAAAAACTGACTCTGTGTTAAAATGCACAAAAAGGCAATTCCAAAGGAGGGTCAAGACACCTAAAACACCTAATTAATCCTCACTCATTTCACTCAGTCCAAACTAAATTACTGAAATTGAAACATCTGTTAGAACCATTTAGAAACATAGAGATTCTCTGTAAAAAGGCAAAGGTAAATATGCACATTAGGAAGAGTAACACTTTACTTTCAAAAGAGTACAATTATTTTTCTGAATTTGCCCAAAAGCATTCCTTGTTTTCTTTCCAAGAATATTCATCCTCATAAATCTCCTGCAATATAAACAAAGAATGGGAAATGTTGTGAGTCTGCTACATACAGCTACAAACCAGGCCAAACAACTCAATAGCCATCCCACTATTATTTACTGATTACACCAGGACTGCACAGCACTTGGCTGCCAAGAAGAGAGGGCAGCACCCTTAAAACATATGGACTGGGCTGAACCCCAGGCTGATCCCCACTGAATTTAGAAGGGCCTACCTAAGCTGAAGTGAATTCAACTTCTAGATCAGAGAGATCTAGAAGAAATTATGTAATGGCTGTAGAGTACTCAGCATTCATGCTGCTACATTAACCTACTGTAATTAACCTACCTACCATCATTTTCAGACAAGAATTTAGATATAACAAAATGTCAATATTAAAATAAAAATTACATTGATATACTAAATAGACTACTAATAGATCTTAAGGACAGACTGGATTGCCCAGCTTCAGTCCAGTCCTAAGCAGCAAATTCCGAGTCCCTGATTATTTTTTCTGAGAGAACTTCCATCTCCTCAAGGAGGTATCAGCAAAGTGAAGTAATGTGGGGAATATCACTATAAACCACATGCCAAGTTCTGCCAGGGAGAGGAGGCAGAGATAATGCTCATTATTTACATGCAACACTGAGGTTATACAGTGAGGCTCTAGATCTGGGCTGGTTTCTCCACACACAGTTGTGTGTCTATACTAGCTTTGGGACTTCTGCTCACCCCTCCACTGTGTGCTGTTCCTTAGTGCTTTGTGCTTTCTCATGGCCACAGTGTTGAGGGGCAAAGAGACAGGCAAGAAAAGCTCCTTTTACTTCCAAACTGCAATGGTGTCCACAGCAAAGCTGACTCAAATTCTTCCACAAGCCTGTGCAGAACTGAGTTTTACTACTCAAAAGAGGACAGCTCAGGCCTCCTTCGCTTTAGCCCTAGGATGGCTTCAAAATAAAGAGGAGCTAGATGGTACAGGTACAGGAGAACCTTCCAGATGCTCTACCTGCCACATATGCACCTGGCTGCAATAGAGGAAACTCACTGGTGCTAGATACTGACAACCCATTAGGAGCAGCTGCTACTGGCCGGAATGCTACTAAGGTAGCCGAGATGTCTAAGACTAGCACAGGCCTAAATTTGATTTTGTCCCCAAACGTACCTTTTTCCATATTGGGACACATGCTTTTAAGGTATTGATGCAGTACATTACAGCTTCAAGGGATTCTGCTCTGTGCGGAGAGGAGACTGCAATAATTACACTTGCTTCAGTTATTGGAACCACACTAGGGAGAGAAGAGGAACAACAGCAGCTTTAGCTAACACTTAACATCAAGAGCACCCAAAAGTTGTAGCCATGTCACGTCAGTATTCTGGCCACATGCTCTCCTGACTCATTCATACTGAGCAAGTGTCAAACCACATCCAAAAGATTATACACTTTTTAAAAGAAAGAAAACCACAATCAAAATCAGTACCAGATGTTAGAATTCCACACTTTAGAATAAAAAAACCCACCAGACATAGGCTTTTTTCTTCCATTCTTTCTTTTTTTTAAAATCAAGCCTATGGAATTAAGAGGGGGAAATTTTTAACTTGTAACAATGCATAGGAAACTCACTGGAAGCTGGCTTAATAATGAACAATAACAAGTTAGAACAGCCAGTTCTTACCTAAAAACCTAAGAAATCATCTCAGTTTGCACAAGAATTTGTGAAAGAATAAATTAATTGCCTCACACTATGCAGATTTTGCAATGAAACCAAATTTTTGATGAATTCCAATTTTAGAATCTCAAGTTTACGACTTGGTGTGCTGTGTTAAACTTAACAGAAGCACAAGGTTCTGTGTTTCAGTTGTAGCATTCCTAAAAATCTCCCAATCCTCCCTCTATAGTAAGACTCCTTCAGCACAGTGCATAGGAAGAAATCTCAGCCTAAATGCTCTGAGCTGCCCCCATGACAGCCACCCTCTCTGTTGACTGTAGAGGAAATCTAGGGAAACTACCCCTCAGGCCTTTTATCTTACTTACCCTTTCCAATCACATCCCAAATTCCTTCAGGATTTCTGCAAATCCCACTAGTTTCAGCAAGAAATCTTCCCTGAACTGGGAAGGCCCAAGAGTATGTCAGACACTAGTATTCCACGTTTTGAATCAAAAGGAAAATGCTCATCCAAGACTCAAGGTTCTCCCACAAGCATGGCTGGCAATTACTATGCCCCACAGCCTAAGCTTCCAGACTTTCTGTAGCATAAATACACTAAAATCTGACAATAAGAACATTCTGCAGCCGCTCAACAGAAGAGAGAAGGAAAAAATTAAAGTGCTGCCAACTTCACACCTTAAAAAAAATAAAGAGCAAAATAAACCAACAGCCTCCCCTTCCCTGAAATATCTCCCCACTTTCAAAACATCACACCAGCATCAAAGATCCTGCCAAGCTGAGTGTGGATTCCAGTAAACCTACGAATAAACACATTTTTGAAAACAAAATTTTTGAAACTTAGCTCAGAGCAAGAGCTTGATCCTGCAGCCAGCTTTGCTGTACTATGGTTTCTAAACACTCCTGCAGATTCTGCAACTACATAAGCACAGCCATGCAGCAGACAAGGATTGATACTCCAGTTGCAGAAGAATGGGATCTGGACACACATACATACCCAAGTCTATGGTGCACTGCAATATGTTTGACTGAAGGCCATTTCTGTCTAACATCTCTGCAGATTTTCTTTATTTCCGTCTCTGCCATTGAAGTATAGGCTTCATATTCTAAGTGAATCACTTTTTTTCCTTCAAAATTATTTCTTGTAGTACCTAAACAAAAATAATTTAACAACTAAAAGCACTGAGTAAATGCATATTGTATCTTTAGAATACACATTACACACTGTATTAATACAGAGTACAAACCCAGGATCTCTTGCTATGGTAAGGTCAGCACTGTGCAAACATAAACAACCTCCCGTAATCATGGCTGCATAATGAGATTATTTGAACAAGATAAATCTTTACTATAAAAGGGAGAATTCAGTTTACCCCTTACACAGATCTGCAGCCCACAATGCCCAAGGCTGTGACATCTTCTGTGGTAACTGGTACACAAGGTTATAATGGCATTTGCCCATGTAATTTTAAATTCCCAGTATTTAGGAGCCTAGTAGCACTAAGATTTAAGCACAAAGCAGTTCCATATGTGTGCCATGTACATTAAGCACACTACAGAGCTACCAGCCTGACCTTCACCAGCCCACTGGTAGAATAGTACTAAGACCTGAGTTACAGAACCTCACATATAGGCGTAGACATGTGGTTGTCGTAGCCACAATATTCCATTTCCCACCCTGAACAAGTTGCATCCCAGGGGACAGGGGAACAACTCCCAGGCAGCTCTCTACTCCAGAGCTACTGTTCTGTTCAGTCCTACAATAGCCACACCAGCCAGAAAGCCCCACACCACTTTAGCCACGTACCTATTTAAGAGCTGCCATAGTCTTGCTCTAGTAATTCAGAACCCGTTTTCTAAACATAAGGGGCTCAGACCAGGAACTGATTTATGTGATAACCCCAAGTCTGGGATGTGGACATGCTAAGTTACATTTATTAGACTAGTAACATACCCAGTGACTTAGCTCATAGATATTAAACTCACCAATGAAGAGAGACACTGCCCCACAGTATGGTGAAACAACCAGCTCTGACACTTCATCTACAGAGAGTTTTTCAGACTTGAGCTTGATAAAATCTTTTGGCACATCTTCGCTTTCTTCCATATCACAATAGAAAAACTGAAACCAAACAGACTGTGTTATTGTTCCTGGAGATACCAGCATCAGCCAACTGCTTTTTATCCAATGCTCGTGCCCCAATTTATGCACCACACAGGCACTATCTATTTGCCCAAGAAACTAGTCTACACATGAAATTCACTTCTCAGCAGCCTCACTGAGAGAATATTAACTGTAAATAACAAGCAATGACTTGGTTTTATTGCATTCATATTTCTTTCTGATAGGAAAGTCTGCTACAGTGGGATGCAACTGTAATTAGCCCAAGGCCCTGGTTTAACAGTACATTCAACCAGCACAGACCACTGTGTAGTACTGGTAAATCCATGGTGATAATATCAGTCCCTCTGACTTATCAAATCAAACAGTTTAAAATAGAGATTTCTGACAAATATGGATTACAGTTCTAACCCTAAAGTTGAGTATGCTCTCCAGGACATTCGGGACCTCATACTATCAGTCTGTTACAGACACACAGAACTTATCTGAGTAGAAGCCAGTCATCAGATCACTTAAGAATAAGAAGCAACATGATCAGCAGCAATGGAACAAGCCACAGCAAACAGATGGACTGGCACTTGAAAACATGCAAAGAAATGAACCTATTCTAAGGACACCTTTTCAACAGCAACAAACTAACAAAATTTCTAAGCAGCAGTCAATTATTTTTACTTTATTATCTGTTCTGTCAAAAAGTGGCAGGAAATTTTTCATTACTATCTTGTTTAAGCAAGCAAAGTTTCCACTGGTAGGAAGAAACAACCAGGAAAGAGTAACAAGACCTAAAACCCAGATTTAAAGCAATGCCTGACCTCTCTGGCAAGTGTCTTCCATTTATTGCATACATGTTAATCATTTACTGGTGCACTGGCTTACACTTTCTGCTCAGCACAACTGCACTCACCAGACGGAAACACAGGTTGGGTTTTCTCAAGAGTACTGGGGTGGAGGGAGAATTGCAATCACATTTTCAGACCTAAACAAGAAAAGGTTCTTGTCAAATCACAACAAATTCATGAGATGTTTTAGCACAGGATTACACTCCACAGGAAACTAGGCAGTAAGTGATACCTACCTAACAGAACGTGGGCAGGTTCAGCCTCCACTAATTGGTGGGATGATGGCAACCTCGTCTCCAGGCTGCAGGACCAGGAGCTGATCTCCAAGAAGCACGTACTCCTGACGAACAGCAAATACCACTTGATCCCGGAGGACAGCAAGCCTGAGGGAGATTGGCAACAGCACAAATAGGTTTCCAAACAATGTTTGCATTTAACCATGAGATTTCATTAAACAGCAAAGTGGTGCACAGTATAGGGTAGCTGAGGTAAAAACCACTGAGACTTACACAACTTCACTTCCAAGTCACTGTCAAAAATATAACAAACACCCACCTCCCAGTCTTGGATTTTCTTGTAATGGCTAAGAAGAAATTAGATCAGTATAATTTTCAGAAATCAGGAATTGGATTTGTCATAGGCCTATGTCAGAACAGACCAATCAATACCAGACCCACTCCAGAAGGTTAAAATAGAAAAGCTGGTAACTCAAGAGGCAGCAACTATCCAATGTGGGATTAGAAGGAAATACTGTCTTGATGCAGTCTGGCAGGACTGTAGCAATTTTCTTACACACCAAGAAGCATTGTGGTATGCTGCTCATGAGATGTCATGAAGATTCAGTAGTCAGAGAGTTGCTCTCATTGTGTGTGGTGCTCAGACTCTGTGAGACTTGGGGTCTTTTGTACTTATGGGTCTGAAATCTGCTATTGATAAGGAGTGGCCACAGACCTAAGAGAGCAAATGTAATGTGTCTTCTGGCAGATCTACAAATTTTTAATGTGAGATACTGCTGTGAGAGTCCATAGCTCTGGATATCATGAGGCAGGGAATAATTTCTATGACTAAGTACAATTACATAGCAAGCATGAGGGCCATAGCAGTAAGACAGAAGAAAAAAAGTATTGCATTTTACTTCACATGGCACAGGCATGATAACAGTTCTTGTTTGAGACTACAAAATCTGGCACAGCCAATTCAGCTATATTGCCTAGAATCAAGTAAGCAGACCAAAAGAGTACAAGTAAAAATCACCTTGTTTCCTACCAGCCAGACAGACAAAAGTAGTCAAGGCACAGGCTGAGCAAAACACAGTAGCACTGATTCAGAGAACAGAGTGAAGGGAGGGATTGTATGAAAGTAAAGCAAGCCACTAAAGAACTATGCACTACCATGAAACTGAAGTGCCCATTAGAAGGACAGGCTCTAATTAAAGTCCATTGCAAGCTAATTAGTTGGGGAAAATGTGTGGAACAGAAAAGCACTGTCAAGTAGACTCAAGCTGCAATTTGAATATCCATTAGCAATGTGAATAGAAGTCTGTGGTCAATGCCCTACAATTATATTGAGTTTTTCCAGAAAATTCTACTGCCCCAAGTCATCATTCATAAAAGGACAAAGTTGACAAATTGCAGCAAAATGACCAAGGGTGCTGCTGCTGCTTCTGACATAGACGAAAAGGCTGCAAAGTAAAATATACGCGTTCCCTACTGCCTCTAGCACCCAAACACACTTTATTTCAATATTCTGTGAGGAAAAGGTCCCTGGTCCAGTGTTTTGTGAACAGTTTCTCACTTGGAAACAGACACCAATGTTAAATAGTTCATTGTTTTTCACAGTGTTTGAGAGCATTGTGTTAAAGAAAGGTTGTGCCTAAAGGAAAAGTTGGACACCGAAGTCCAAAGTTACGGAAATTCCAGAGCAGTGAGCACTAAATCCTGAGGACGACAACCTCTTTTATACCTTACTTTTTTTTTACTCCCTTCTATCCCTCAAAAATGGTGTGGCATCTTTGTCCATCAGACTCATTCTTGAAGGACTGAGCACCTTCCCTCAGTTTTGAACAGAGGGGACATTTCTGTTGACACCCCCAAGAGCACCAATGCTGCTGAGACCCTTACAGCATACACCGTACTTTCTCAGGACCAGACTCCTTATGAAATGCAAGCAACAGTGGTGTGGGTCTTTTTCAGAGCTGACCATATTTGCTGTGCCAGGGCTGAGTGGCTGGAAGCCTGTGAGGGCTTCAGTTCCCTTCCTAACGTGCCTTGCAGAGTGTGCATGGGCTCAGACCAATGGCTTACAGTACAGTTAATCACAGAATCAATTATGTTTGAACAGCACTCTGTGACCATGGCACAAAGTCCAACCTTTCCTTAAAAACCTTCAAGGACAATGACTCCACCACCTCCCTGGGCAGCCCATTCCAATGTCTTTGCATCCTTTCAATGAAGAACTTCTTCCTAATGTCTAACGTAAGCAATTGGAAACACCCACATATTATCATTTGTTTCTCAATTATTGCCCTGGCTGTGCTTGATCCCTCCTTCCAACATCTCACCTTCTCCACATACTAATAAAATGGTAGTTTTCAGGTTGCCACAGCCCTCGTGGACAATGGGCCACATGTATTCTCAGGCCCAGTTTTGGGTACATCTGCACCTGGGCTTTCCTTGTGCATACATAAAGCTACAACACTTCCAGCTGTGCAAAACACAAAGCATTTAGTGCGGGTTACCAAAAGAAGGTGACACCACTGTTTTTATGCTGTTGAAGTACTGCTGTGTGTTCCACCCCAATGCAAAACACCGAATTTGTATTACAAAAATAATTTTTTTAATCCGCGTTTCTTCGTGCACGCCAAGGGTAACTTGCTGTATACCTGGGGTGGACCTTGACGATCTCCTCCCAGAGCTGCAGAGAGGTGATCTCCCGTGGCACCGAGAGGGTCTCGCAGCGCAGCCCCGCCAGCTCTGCGCTCCTGGCGAAATACAGCACCGAGACCTGCCCGGGGAACAAACAGCGCTCAGGGCCGGGGCCTGCCCAGGAAACCGCTCCCAAAATACCACCACACAACCGGAACCACAGCGCCAAGAAAAGCTTTCCCAGGCTTGTCTCGAAGCCGATCGGCTCAGCCGCGTCTCTCCTGCCCCGGCTGTCAGGACAGCGGGGACAGGCGGAGAGGGCGGGGGGCGGTGAGTGAGCGCCGATCCGCGACCCGCGCCCGCCGCCCAGGCCGCTCCCGCTGCCTATCGGGGCCTGGGGCAGCGGGAGCCCCGCAGCCCTGCCCGACGCCGGCCGAGCCTCCGGCCGGACCGGCCCCGGGGTCGCCGGCTGGTGGCACCTACCTGGCAGCGCATGGAGCCGCCGTCCCGGGGCGAGCTGCCCTCCACCGCGGGCCCACGGCGGCGCCTGCGCCCGCGAGAGAGGCGCCGGGCCCGGACCGCCCCCTGCGGCCTGGCCGGGAGCGCCGCGGGCCCGCTCCCGCCGTCGGGCCGGGTGCCGCCGGTTCCTTTCCCGCACGGGTGGTGGCGAAGGCGGGAGATGCCTCGGCTTTGCCCCAAAACTCAGGGTGCAGTGTTGGGGACGGCACTTTACGAGCCGGATTTTCAGGGGGGCTCGCAGCTCTGCGCGCATCGGGATTGCAATGTTCGCAAACATTGCTCGTCCTCAGCCTTACGTGTTAAACATGTACAACGTGCACAGTACAGGTATAGTTGGCGTGTAAAAGCCACGGATCCGTTTCAATGCTGCCCCGGGCTTTCGGGGTTGGGGCCTGCTGTCACCTCTGCCTGCGGAAGCTGAGGGCAGCAGGGCGGGAGAGCGCTGGCTCTCGCCGGGGCGGGGGAGTGTAGAAAGTGCTGCCGAGGGACCCCCAGCAGCTGTTCCCCACGGCATACTGTGCGCCAGAAGGACTCCTTGTGGGTGGCCAGGGCTGTTTCTGTAGTGTTTGTCTGGTGGCACTCGTAACCTCACAGCACAAACGGAGGAGCTCCTCCAGGCAGACAAACCAGGGGCAAGTCCACAGCCATTAACAGTGTGCAGAAAGTCATGCTGCCAAAGCCCAGGATCCACAGAGAGACAGAGGAGTCCTGCAAAAATCAACTTTAATTAAAACTAAGCAGATACCACTGGGGCATACCCATCTAGAATCTCTCCAGTGTTTAGCAGACACAGCCTCCATTTATTCTAAACACTCTCCTACTTTCCCCATTGGGTGAGGTACTAGGAAGATACAACCTTTCAGAGATCCGCATATTACATATCTCCCCTCCAATATGTACCCCCACACCCATTCTTCCAGAACCTGATTGGTTCTTTCAGGATATCTAGTCGTTTGTAAAGGTGTGCACACCCATTTCTCCTACCATCAGTTCCACAGAATTTACGGTCAGTAATTGTGATTTGGGCTGGTGGTCATTGAATTGTTAAGGTCAGAAAAGACCTCTAAGATAATTGAGTCCAACTGTTGCCCTGGCACCTCTGTGTTCACCACTAGACCATATCCCTGGATGCCATATCCACAGTTTTTTTTGTTACCCCAGCACCTCTGTGTTCACCACTAGACCATATCCTTGGATGCCATATCCACAGTTTTTTTGAACCCTTCCAGGGTCAGTGATTCTACCATATTCCCAAGCATCCTGTTCCAAGCCTGATCACCTTTTCAGTGAAGTAATTGTTCCTCATATACAAACTAAACCTGCCCCGGTGGACCTTGAAGCTGTCTGCTATTGTTCTGTTGCTTGTTATTTGGGAGAAGAGACTGACCCCCACTTGGCCACAGCTTCCTTTCAGGCAGCTGTAGAGAGTGACAAGGTCACCCCTGAGCCTCCTTTTCTCCAGGATAAACACCCCCAGCTCCCTCAGCTGCTCCTCACAGGGCTTGTGCTCCACACCCATCACCAGCTTTGTTGCTCTTCTCAGGACAAGAACATCAGAACATCAATCCTTGCTGCATGCAACACTGTCTGATAGAAAGAAAAAAAAAAAAAGAAAGGAAAAAAAAGAAAAAAAAAAACACCAAACAAAATAACCCCAAAACCCAAAAAACTATGACCAACAAAAAAACCTAAGAACCTCAAAGAACTAAAAAGATGGCTGAGAAAGGAAGCAGACTTTTCCGCATAATAATTTTTGCCTCTGAGTTACAAACACAATGAAAGTTAAAGTGATTACGTTTTCCAAAAAGTGTGTGATAGAAATACAATCATTTCTGCAGAGCAATTGTATTGTACCAGTTATTCAGTACATTGTGTCTTAATCCTCTGCTGCGAGGAACAAATAAGTTACTTTTTAAAAAACTCTGTTCTTTTGTGAATGATTAACTAGTGTTACAAATTGAACTCTCCTAAACACAGCATGTGTCAACTGAATAAAATAATTGCTTTCTTTTTTCTCTGGGCTGAGTAATTTTGGATCTATACATCTTAGATGGAATAGATCACTTTGACATGGTGTGTATGACCCAGCCAGTAGCTAGCAAGTGGCTGGCACATTTTTCTCATGCAAAAGGTATACCATAATAGGTGTTCTTAGAGTGAAGTGGAGGAGTAATGGCCTCAGCTGGAGAAAATTAGCCTCTCAGCTCAGAAAACAGTGAGCTTTGAAGGATTTATCTGTACATTTAGAGTTAAGACAACTATGGAATAAGGAGAGATGGGTTACTGACAGTGAATTTCTGGATTTTCTTTCTTTGATCTCCAAGAAATACCTCACCTAAACCAATTCTTGCATATTTTTCAAAGGATGAATCAGTCTTCAGCTCTGCATGGTATGATTTAGTTAAAGGCTATCTCCAAGAAATAACTCACCTAAACCAATTCTTACATATTTTTAAAAAGGATGAATCAGTCTTCAGCTCTGCATGGTATGATTTAGTTAAAGGCAGATTATGTGCCTAGAAAGCAGAGGAATAGAATATGATTTGTGACTCTTATGATCCATTATCTGTGTTCTTGAACAGCTAAGAAGTAGTTAAGAGTTCTTACTCAAAACAGGAATTAAGATGAGGTGTAGTATTAGTGGCTAAAACAAAATTCTCCCTAAATACTTCTTTATTCTGGAAGTCTTATCTTCCAGGAACATCAGCTTCAGCAAGAGGCGGGACAACTACACTGCTTGGTTTGCAAGAATAAGTTTTATCCAGATTGATTTTAATTGTTTGGTTCTTTGGCTTGTTTGGTGTTTTTGAGGGGAGAGTATAGATACCTTCTAGGATTAAATAAGAGATAATTTTGTAGCTCTGGAGGAGATATGTCAGCTCTGTAGAGACCAGGATTCAAAACTATCCATTATTATATAGACTAGATCTATATGATGTTCCCTTAAAATATTTCCTGTTCTGTATCCTTATTTCAGGCACCATTTCATTCTTTGGGGCTTGGAATATGGGCATCTGCAATTTATAATCTAGTTATCTCACTTATTGAGTCCATTACTTTCAATTAAATCTTGTCCTGAGTAATGGGGCCTTTGCTGTAGCAGAAAGGTGTCTATGTATTCTCCTATGCCAATATGTACATTAGCCAGAATGTAGTGTATGTACATTTTCAGAATTTATTTCTTTCAGATGTCTTCAATTTCAAAAAAGTTATGTTATGAAGTCCTCCAAAACAGGTGTTTCCTATTCCACTTCACAACTTTTCTTTGTTTTAATAATGTTTAATACTGAAAAAGTGCAAATTTTCCTGTATATGTGGGATATCCTTACACTTCCCAAATAACAGCTTAAAGAAGTTCAGTTCTAAGGAATCTTCTAGATAAGGATGTTTTACCTACTAATTTTTTTCTTACTTACCATCAGGAAACTGAACTTTTAGATGTAGCTGGAGTATGCCCAGATACTATGCTTACAGTGTAAAGCACTGATTCTGCATGGGATATTGAATAGAGAGAGCCACAGCAAAGTCAGCAATACTTAAATAGGTACACTAGTCTGTCTGCTAGGCCTAAGCTAATTTTGTAACAACTTGTTACAAGAATTGGTATAAAATATGACTGGATGCGCTGGGAAAACCAAAGAGGATTGAACTGGACACATGTTGTTAATCTTTAATTCTTTTTAACAATGATTTACCTAATGTCGCTGCAGAAAAAAACGTCTCTCTAGGACTGCAGAAGATTGTGATTGTCTAATTTCTAGCAGATTTTCTGTTTCCTTTTGTTTTCATTTTAAACATTTTCTCAGGACTGTTTGGTATAAATCATGAGTTGCTGCTCTGAAGTTCAGATTTATACTTGGGAAACCTTCAGAGAATGTTTTTTACTCGAGTTTTGTTGTTGTGAAGAATTTAGGCCATGTTGATGTCAGACTTGAGTGCTCTTATTTTTTTTTTTCTGAGATATTGATGCATAAGACTTTATTTAGAAGAACAAAGAAAATTCCTTTACTTCACGCTTCCTGAAATAACTAGGGAAAAATTATCACTCATGACAGGGAATAGCCCTTGATAACCTCACACACCCTTCATATTCCTTGGGCAACCAGCCAAATCTGAAGTAAATTTAACTTTAAATTTTTTGCTACTGGGTTCATTAAAAAAAGAAAAAAAAAAAGGAAAATAAGGGAAAAACAAACACCTCAATCCCTCCAAAAAAATCCCAAACCCAAAAAACCCCAAAAGCCATTTGGAATAATCTACAAGGATTCAGAAGTCAGGCAAGTATAGGAGACATGTCACTGTGAATTCCAGTAATTCCACTGAATTCAGGTCTGAATTTGGCATCATACATATCAACACTGGTAATAATCTGGAAAACATCTTCCTATTTTGGAAGGAAGGAGAGCTGTTCCTTAAGTTTCCATAGTGGAACAACTGAGAGAAAAACTTGAAAATATGAATCAGTCTGAGACACTGTGACCTCTAGGATTCCTGTGTGTGAGGTATATGTGGCCATTTGACCAATGTATTTAACATTTCCCTTGGCACTCTTTGAAATTGTCTATTACAAAACAGATGGTGCAGTAGTTACTTTTTGAAGGGCTAGAAGAGCATGACTACATCTGGAATCAATCTTTAGCTCCCTAAACCAATAGATCACCCAGTTTTAAGAGGGCCTTCTAATATAATTGCATTGCACAAGTACAGAGAAAGAATACACAGCTTTAAGGCAGAGTATAAGCAGTCCGGAACTATAATTCATAGGCACACAAGTCTTTCTGTTCAACTGTCTCAATTATGGGAAAGTCTTTTCTACAAGAATTTATTTTTATTGAGCAACAGCAGTAAGTGAAATGTGTAACTTCTTCAATGAGATTTTAAAAATCCACAAATTTTCAGGGTTTGTATAACGTGTTTTTCTTTTCTGTTGGCAACTACAGTATTTTTAGAGAGATTACTTCTTTTATGTTTATACTGTCCTTTACCCAAAAAGGTAGCTCAAGGTTGTATTAAACTAAAATGCACACCATCATCATTCAAATAAAACCAGTTATGGAGTTTTTGATGATTATTAAGTCATACAACACATTCTCTGAAGAATGATG